TAAGCCCACACAAAATCTTGTACGTAGAATTCCCCTTATAAAAAACCATGAAAATATTTAGAACTCCATATATAGTTGACTTGCAGGTTCTCTCTTAGCCACAGCATGTCTGGTGATCTCTAAGTATTGATGTTGAGGACTGAACCGTGAAGCCGATGAAAACACTGAGGATTATTACAGTAGAAACAGATACATTTATTTTCCCATGCTGCATACTCAAGAGGCTTACCAGGCATAATTGCCAGTCAGGAGAATCTAGTTAAGTAAGAATTTATGTCACACTTCCTGATTTGAAAAGATATTGTAAAAAATCAAAGACTAGACATGAAACACTGGAGCCTCATTATTATGTTACAAGATGGAATAACAGCTCTGACATTTAGTCTTGTGACCTCTCAGACTAAATCTGTAAATATATGCCATATCCAGGACTTACCAGATACAGCAGTTCACAGAGCTCATAGCCAGAGAAAAACTAGGTTGTGTATCACATACAGTCACCCTAGGATGATATAATCAGACTGTTGTTGATGCTAATGTAGTCACAGCTATCTGGACAACTACCAAGCTACTAGCAGTGACAGTCCCCTTTACTGAGTAGTCTACATAATAAGTAAAGGTATTTACTGCATAGAATGCACAGCTAAGTCCCTTGAGAGATGGTGGAAACACAGGCTGACAGATTCCATTGCTTTCTCAGCCTTTTCCATTGCAGGTACAAGCACCCAGAATAAAAATAATTAAGCACTGTTCAGATCTTGTGTAGGTAACCTGAAAATGTCAAATGCATCAGAAAAACAGCGGAAAGCCCCACTCTCTACTAAGCCTAAAATAATAAGTTATTTTGGAGTCTCAAGGTGACACAAGGAGATGGTGGCTGGCCAATCACACTCCATTAACCATAAGCCAAACCCAACTACATACCCAGAAGCAGGAGACATTAAGAGACAGCTGTAGATTCCAAAAGAATGTTTTTTCTCCTGCCTACCATCAGCTGAAGAGAGATTGAGCATATCCGGAATAGTAAAGAAAAGAGCCTCATGAAAAGTAAATCTTCACAAGGAAGTTAAGCTGTATCACAACTGATTTCCCTCTCTCTGTTAAGTTTTAGACCTTTGAATAATTAGAAATTTATTAGTGAATGAGAGTGACTGGCAGTAATATATTAATAATTAAGACAACAAAAACTCCTGAATTTAGCATTCTACTTCTGGCAAACTAGAAAGGACTTAACTGAATTTTGTTAAAGGTCAACAATGTCTTCAGTTTGGTTTAAAGTGATTATGTTTTCAGGTTTTTCCTCCTTGTAAACGTAAGTTCTGCTTTCTAAGTTTGGACATTTAATAACCTAATTTATCTAGATCATGTAAATGCCACACACTTTCACAATCCAAAAAATAAAGAACTCCTCTTCATAATACCAAAATCAAAATAAAACTACTAGAAACCAAAGCAAGATAGAAAGTACTTCAATAGAAACAGCAAACTCCTTAGCTACAACAAATGAGAACAAACCCAAACGCAACGCGAAGAAAAAAAAAAAAAAAAAAAAAAAAAAAAAAACCACCCAGTTACTCACCATTGAAAAACCTCAGATAGACAGAAATCTCCAACAAAAAGTACCCCTACTTCCATTGCTAACCCTTAAATGAGGTCTGGGAAGGGGTGGATCCTGGCTCCTCCCCTTCCAGTTACTCAGGTACATTGCATACACCTGGGCTTTCCCGGATTGGCCCTGCCTTCCCACCAAGTGCTCACTCACTGGTTCAGGCTGAGACTTAGCATTTCTGCTTCTGTAATTAAGCCTCACTAGCTGGCCAAAAGAACATGTAATCCTTTCTTATCCGTGACATAAAGTTTCCAAACTGAAATGAAATTACTCTGATTACTGCATAAAGATGCTTAGGTCTGCTGAACCTAATCTTTAAACACAGTAGTTCACATATCAGTGAACAATTATTGATTTGATTGATTTCTATTGTTTTAAATGGAGGATAAGAGTTCTGCAGACATTCATATGCACATCAAGGGAATTTCAGAGCAATACAGTGGAAAATCATAGAATCATAGAATCATAGAATCATAGAATCACCAAGGTTGGAAAAGACCTAAAAGATCACCCAGTCCAACCATTCACCTATTCCCAATAGCTCCCACTAAACCATGTCCCTCAGCACAACATCCAGCCTTTCCTTGAACACCCCCAGGGTCGGTGACTCTGCCACCTCCCTGGGCAGTCCATTCCAGTGCCTGACCACCCTTTCTGAAAAGTAATACTTCCTCATGTCCAGCCTGAATCTCCCCTGCCGTAGCTTGAAACCATTCCCTCTGGTCCTATCACTAATGACACGAGAGAAGAGGCCGACCCCCAGCTCACTATAACCTCCCTTCAGGAAGTTATAGAGAGCAATGAGGTCTCCCCTGAGCCTCCTCTTCTCCAGGCTGAACATTCCCAGCTCCTTCAGCCTCTCCTCATATGGCCTGTGTTCCAGACCCCTCACCAACTTTGTTGCCCTCCTTTGAACACGTTCCAGGGCCTCAATATCTTTCTTGCAGTGAGGGGCCCAAAACTGGACACAGTGCTCGAGGTGCGGCCTCACTAGTGCTGAATATAGGGGAACAATCACCTCTCTGCTCCTGCTTGCAACACTGTTTCTGATGCAAGCAATGTGCAATGCATATCTGTAGGAGAACTGTTGAATCACGGCTTGAACGTCTGATTGATCATCTGAGGCAAGCACTGTCAGCCAAGGAAACACAGGTGAAGGCAATTCAGCTCTGTGACCGGAAAGGGTGGAGCCTGGCTGCACCTCTCCTTGACCCCATTTAAGGGCTGACTGCTGCTGGGGAAGGCTCATTTTTTGGGGGTAGTTCTGTTTAGGCTCTTTTCTGTGAGCCTAGGTTGCAGGTGAGCATTTTTTTTTTTTGTTAGCAATTACCTATTTCCACCATGATAACCTTCTTGGTTATGTCTTATAGACTACCAGCCTGACTATACTGCTTTGTGTATTTGTTGACTGCGCAATATCACAGAACCACTAATTGTAAAGTTGGTTACTGTTTTGCCTTATTTTTGCACAAGTGGGTAGAACTTGCTTGGCCTTTTTCTTACTCCCTAGAAGCATGAAGAATTTGTGGTTTCTATAAGCTTGTTATTAAGCTAAGCAGAAGTAACAGTCTCAGTGAGACAGTTTGCATGTTATTTGCTATGTGATAGTATTTATTGCATGCATTAGTACTCAGTCCTTGCTAATGCATTTAGTTTAATTATAAATGAGCAAAAATAAAATTACTGGATTTGAGTTTACGGTAGACTTCCATTAGGGATTTTGTTCTAGCTGCTAATACATCTGGAATGAATAGCTTTAACCACTGTGCAATTGTTTGGGGGAAAAAAAAGAAATTGAATTATGTGAAAGGATTGCAAAAGCATTCAAATCTATGGGGAAAATCCAGTTGTCCCTTTTTCTAGCATGCTGTATTAGCACAATGATATATATCCCCTTATGCTTGATCAGACACTAAAATATTAAAGCAGTTACTGCAGTTTTTTGCCTAGACTGTGGTATCAAATATGTTTATGGTCTCACAGTGTAATTAGCTGCTTAGAGAAACAAGTCTTTGGAAAGGGAACACCTTTGTTAAAATACAGTTTTCCACATCCCAAAGCTCAGCAGTAGTACGATGAAGCACTCATGCACCTTTCAAAATGCTACTGAGAATGAAAAAACAAAGTAGCTGTCTTCATCTTTGAAGAATTTTGCTATAGTATATTTAATACAAATACTTTCTGGGGATGGAGGATGGTTTCTAGAGAACAGGACTGAGAACAGGGAATCTTGTTCACCCTATCACAGCAATGTAGCCTTGGGAGGATCTTCAAGAGTTTGTTTGAATCAAAGCTGGATGGCAATGGGGCTCTCCCTGCTTATGTCTAACATGCTTAGAGCCTTTCAGGTATGGGAACATCACACCATTTCCATGTCACCCAATCTTCTAGTATCTGAAGGCAAAAGATTTTTAATAATCACCTGCTTTTTGCTGCATTCTGAGCCCAATATTTCTTGCTGTATGTCATTAAAATGTAGAAAGAAAACTATTTTCAGAGTCAGATTCAACATGGCTGGAGTTCTAATGGAGATCTGTACTAGACACCTCTGCACAATGTTCCAGGTGTGCAGGCTGAGCAACTTTCCAACTGCTTCAAATAGTTTCTCCAATATTTAAGGATGCCTTGCATTGCCTTGCACGCTTTCCAATCCCTGGAGGCACTCAGGTCCAGAGTGGATGGGGCTGTGGACAGCCTGATCTGGTGGGGGGGCAAAGAGGGCAGGAGAGTGGGGCTGGGTGGTCCTAAAGGTACCTTCAGTCTTAAACCGCTCTCTGATTCTGTGATTCTATGGCTTGAACAAGTAACAGGTCTGGATTAGAAGTGTAGCGTACTGGCAAAGTAATTAACCAGCTATTTAAGGGCAAACATGGATAATAAAACTAGTAGGAAAAACAGGGCACATGTGGGGGCTGAGTTGTCCAGCACTTGTAACGAGTAAAGGTGAGTCAATGCTTTTGGCCTCAATCTTTAAGATGGCTACTGTGACCAGCAGAATGTAAGGCCCCCTTTGTAGCCCAAACACAAGAGTTTGAGTAGTGGCTGTGGCAGAGGCAGGTGGTTCAGTGTGTCACTGACTGTGGGGAGTGCGGAACTGGATGGAGCTCGTTTGGCAGCAGCGTGCAGGGGAGGCTCACCAACGTGTTCAGTTTAGAAAACAGAGTCAATAGTTTCTACGGAGAAGCTTCGTCTCGCCGGGGCCGACCTTCAGCACACCGGCGCCAGGCGGGATCAGGGCGGCCGCTGCGCGCGGAGGCCCCACCAGGGAGCGCTGTGGGCGGAGGCGTGACCGGCCGGGAGCGGCGCTCGGGCCCGGGGTGTCCGCTGCCTTCCGCCCGCTGGTGTCCCCCGGCGGCGGTGGGAGCGGAGGAGGAGCGGCTCGGAGCGAGGAAGCGCCGCCAGAAGCCATGTCTGCGCCCACCGGGCTGCCGCCTCGGCCCGCCGGTGCCGTCGCCGCTTACCCGGGCGGGCCCGTTGGCTCTCGGGAGGCCGCGGCCCCTCAGAGCGCTGCGCCGCACTGCCAGAACGGTGAGAGGCCTGCGCGGGGCCTAGCGCGGCGGGCGGGGTGGGCCCGCGGGGGCTGCGGTGCTCGAGGCGGGGTCGGGCGGGCTGCGGGATGGGGGGCTCCGGCGGGCCGCTCATCGGGGTCTGCAGTCGAGCGGGGCCGGGCCGGGCCGGGCCGGGCCGAGCGTGTCTTTGCTGGGCTGGGGCCAAAACGCGGGGCGAACTTGGGAGGAAATGCGGAGTCTGCTGGGCTCGGGGAGCAGCGGTGGGGAGGGCGTGCGTTTCTTCTGCTCCTCTCATGGTTAAATGTGTTCGAGTTCGTGGGGATTTTTTTTTTATTTTTAAGTCACTTATGTCATAAACCGGCTTTTTTGCGCTTTTTTTTTTTTTTTTTTTTTTTTTTGGTGTGTGTGTACAGGCTTTGTTCTGCACAAGCTAGTGTGTGGGGTAACGACCTACAAAATTTTGGCTTGTGAATGTGCCTCGTGTCTGAAGGGTTGCTGGGTGATAGGTTTCTCGAGTAGGCTTTGAGTAACTTGGCAGATCAGACAGAAGGCAGCGTGATGAGTGATGAGGAAGGTAGTTAAATTGTACCCGTTAGGGAGAAACCGCTGCTACAGATGCTTTTGCCGACCTTTAATATTGTAATGCTGAGACTTGTCAAAATTATGTAGAAAATTCCATCCTCGATGGCTTTTAATAAAAGCACAATGTTATGAGGACTTGGATACCTATCAGCAGTGAGCTGGAAGTGTTTCTTAGAAACAAACAGAAACCGACGTTGTTCATTCTTGTGTTTTTGTCCAAATGAAACAGCAATTTTAAATAACTCTCCATAGTGCTTATTATTTTAATTAATTAGTTCTATGTTGTAGTCATCTTCTGTCAGTCAAATAAATGTTTTTGGTTTTTTAATTCTGAGAAGTTTATATTATTCAGTAATTGTTTCATCTTTATTGTGTAACTCGCTAACTACTCCTATTACCTTTGCTCCATGTATATATAGACCTCTGAATTTGTCACTTCATGTATTTTAGCACCAGCAGCCTGAAATTCCTAAATTAGTCTATGAGTCTTTTAAGTACTACTTTTCTGAAGTTACATAATGTAACACAAGACTTGAAGCTACTTTTTATAACTGTAATAGAAGGAATAGTGAGGGGGAATAGTAACAGAAGACTGTACTAGAATTTTCTATTCTATCAAATAGAAACTGAATTTCACAAAGATTAATTTGGAATTTGATGTTACATTAGTTAAATGTAAATTACTTCAGTGAATGTAGTTAGTTCTATATTGGCTGTAAAACTGATGTTGTGTGTCCTTGCAGGTGTTTGGAGTGTTCTTTGTGTTTTAATTTCGTAACACCTGGATTTTTTCAGGTTAAGCTTTTGAAATTACTTGCAACTGATGAAAGCAGGGCTGATTTTTTTGCAGAAAGAAGCTCACTGCATGGACAGCAGTAGCAAAACGGATGATCCACTTTGTTTTTAATAGGATTTGCCCAATCGAGTAACCACGTTGATTTGAGACATTTGGGGACAATGATTTTAGCAGAACTTCAGTTTAAAAATGAAAAAAAAAAAAAAAAAAAAACCAACCCCTACTTTATTATTTTTTTCTTCTCAGTGTTCTCAATGTGATTCTATTATTAAATTCAGTGTTTAAAAAAGAAAGAGGATCTTGCTTGGCCTCTTGTTCTTCCATCAGGGGCTTTAAGATACAGTTCTTCTGCATGAAGTGTTGCAGGCTCAAAATTATAGTAGTTTTGCAGGTGGCTTTATACATAACAGGAGAATGACTCTGAATGTCAGCTTAAGAAAGTATTGCTTGTTAAATCAGTATGAAAAAGCAATATATTTGTTCCAGTAGCCATTGTTAACAGCTTAATGTATTGACATTTCTAATGCTGAGTGGATGGCTATGCTGAATTCCCTTGCTTCTCTAGAAGATCTTTGTTTATTATTATCTGCAAGTAGTTGGTAAACAAACAAACAAACAAAAAAAAACTCCAACAAACGAAACTACATTTGGTATCTCTGCCAGCGTTTTGGGATTATCAGTTTAATTATCAGGTCATTTAGCATTGTTTTGCATCCCTCTTCAGGTTTTTTGGGTAGTTACAATTATATTGGAAGAAGGGCATAAAGATATGAAATTCCTGTATTTGTTGCAGAAATGGGAAACTGATCAATTCCATCATTGAGCTGCTGTGAGAGCCCAGCAGGACTCAGTGTGCTGGGTGGTGTGTTGGCAGTGAAGGACATGCAGAGCTGAACTAGGCAGGGCAGTGCTGCCCCTTGTCCCTCTTGTAAGAGACACCCGAGGGAGCTGTGCTGCCTGCTCTCTGCAGGTGTGTAAAGAGATGGTAAAAGTTGCAGGAAGCTTGGCTGGAAAGGCAGCTTGTGTTCAAAGTCTGTATATTACACATGCTTGGCAGAAGGCTGAATTATTCAGGTAAGAAAATGTGTGTGTGAAATACAAGGGAACAGCATTAGATAAGCAGGCTAATTTTACCAGTTGACTTGGCTGTTGGTGTTAGTATAGATGGGACAGTTTTTTGTTTTTCGTGTGGCAGCACTTTTTTTCTCTGAAAAAGTGCTAAGGCTTTTGGCATCCAGCTGTTAATGCACATGTGCTTACATGTTACAGTGTTATGAGGTACAGATTTGTCTATGGCAGGAGAGATTCCCTGCTTGCTGTTGTAGAGATGGCATGTTAGCTGTACACTTGCAATGTGCAGGTAAGGCTTTCACTCCCCATACAGAATTTTCAAAAGGAAGTTGTCAGGTGTTTGGGGAGGAAGGTGCACTGCCTGAAGCACCAGCACAGGGACGTGCAATTATCCTGATTTCAAAATGACAGCAAAAGTATACCCAGATTTTCTGTGTTGAAAATGGCTCAATTATCTAGTCATCATTAAAAGCTTCAGCTACTAATTGCGCTGCAAGTTACATTCTATTCATGTTCTTTATGATCAAATGAATATAAAGCTCATTTCAGATGATGGGGATAATCTTAAAATAACAACATACTTTCAGAGGCTAAGGGTTTTGAAATCCAAAGGATCATTGATATCTTTCTGGAGTTTGTGGGATTTTCCTGTGTGCTCTTGTGTCGTTTTGTACTTGTAATAGCTGTTTCCGTTTACAAGTGTGAATAAAGATGACTTGGGCATTCTGTGATGTGGAAACTGGTATTTTGTACTGGTAATTCAATCACATCTGTGTTTTTTAAACTAGAGCTAGAGACTTCAAGGCTTTACAAGATGATTTGATATGCAACTGTTTATTTCAAGTGAGGTGCTCCTAAACCAGTTTCTAAATTACACCTGCACAGTTGATTTATTCAGCATACCACAACACAGTAAAACAAATGCGTAGAATGTGCTTCTGGAACAGCTTTCCTTGCCACCTTAAGTAGCATACCTGCTGAAAGCAGAAAGCCTTCAGGTAAATTATTTGTATATTTTTGAGTTTGCTTTGCTGTTCGAGTTCCTGTAAGCATAGTCTGTAGTTGTCAGTGGATTACTAACTGGAAAATCATTCTCTCTAAAGGAGGATAAACTACAGAACATTATAAGGTAGCTTCCACTTCGTGATAACAGTGAATCAGAAGCGCACAACTACATGCTCTTCAAAACTGTTTGTCATTTTGTTGTGTATTTAAAGCTCCAATGCTTTCTCCCCTAGGGCGTCCTGTTTCTTTACCCGGCACTCTTACATTACTGTTGTTTGTTAGCTGCTTCTACTCAGAGTTTTGGGTTATCATTTATGAAAAGGCATTTCTAATTTGATCAGAAAGTACTTTTGGATGTTATGTTCCTTGCTTACAGGATTCTGTTAACAAGTCATTATTACAGTTTCCCTGCAACCTAGTGGGAAAACACATGGATGTTACTTTGACAGCGGTGACTTCACAACTTCATTCTTCAAGAGGAGGATACATGGGAGAAGTAATACTCGCATGTTGACACAGTGAAAATAGGGAAGCAATAAGATGAATTTCTCATTTCTTGTCTGCTGTTGAATGGCACAGTATGTCACAGTTCACCAAATGCTGGGAAATAACGTCGTGCAGTGTGATATAAGCAGCAGGGCATGGCAATTTTAAGAAAGGAAATAATCCAGGGAAATGCAGGCGTGGTTCACTAGAAAACAGAAGTTAGGGGTTGGGAAAAGAAACTGAGAGAGACTTTGATATTTAGCATTGATCAATTTGAATAATAAGTAAATTTGGACCTACTTAATATTTGGTGTGTCACCATGAGCCCTTGCTGGATTGGTATGTAATTAATCTCTAATGCTGCAGAGCTGTTTGCTGGGACAGCTGAAACACTCTGATGTCAACACCTCCTCTACCTGATATAAATACCAGGCAATAAACAGAGGTGACTTGTCAGCTAATCTATGTTTTCATAAAAATGATGGTTTCTGTAAATACCAAAAAAAAAAAAAAAAAAAAAAAATGTATTAAGGAAAAAAATAACTGCTCTGAAGCACTTTATCTTGATCACCATATTGGGAATTTATTGAGACAAGTAGCCATGTTCTTGTATATTAGCATATACATCTGGCTGCAGCTTTTTGTTTTCCATAGTCAGTTTCTTGAAGGCATATTGTTGTATTCAAATAGTGAAATACTGGTTTAGGGCTTGCTGTTGCTCATTATTTACTTAAATATTTTCTTAAAGTGATCAAAATACAAATGTGATACCTAGGGATTTTGAAGTGGAAGCACCTTTTTTTTTTTTTTATAATGGAAGAGATCCATTTTTCTGGTTCTTCTGTGTGTATGCGAATGATTTTAGATGTGGTATTTTACATGCATTGTACTTGGTTCATTCATTTTGTACTGCTGATGGACATTATCTTAAATGTATGGAGAGAAAACAAGACGAAATGAGTTGCTTATTAGCTACAAAAAGCACAGAGTACATTCGCACTGCTAGCAGATGCACCGTTAATACATGAGATGCTTTCTCTTCATTTCAGGTCCTGTGCAGAGTCAAATGCAGTTCCCTGCTGGCTACGGCTCACATCCTCCGAACTACAGTGCACCCTCAGGACACTATTCCCAAGTGCCCAATAAAGCTGTTTCATCACCTTTGGATAATCAATATAGAGCCAGTTATCAGTCTCCTTACTATTCAGCACCAGCACAAAATGTTATGACGCCACTCATGGGAACCAATGTGTTGAATACACGGGAATCACAGCAGTTCTACAACAAAACTCCTCCCCGTACAGTGGGGTTGACTGAAGGACCCGTTCAAGGAGCAATACCATCTGGATCCTACTTGCATACGAGTGCTCAGCAGTCATATTCTGCATATGGTGATCACTACAACACTTCAGTCAGCTCTTCAGTTGCATCTCAGGGATTTCCCCTTAATTCTGATCATTACGCCATGCCCGTGGTTTCTAGTGCCATGTATCCTAATGTTTCCTATCCTGCAGCTACTAGCAGCATGTATGGGCAGGCATTTACCTCTCAGAGCCTTCCTGCAGCTGGACAGTTCAAGGAGACAAATACATTTTCTAGCCAGAGTACATCAGTACCTCATTCACTTCAACAGCACGTTCCTGTGGGATATAACTCTACATTATCAACTATTTCATCTGCTCAGTCCTTTCAGGACAACCTCAGCAAGAATCTCACTGGATCCGTTGCTAAAGTAAACAACCAAGTAAACAGAGGTATGGTGTTATTTAAAGCATGCACCTGGGAAGTATCAGAAATCCCATGCTTTAGTTGTTTTGTACTCGATCATTCTGTGAAATTCTATATTATAATTTTGAATTACTGGTTCTGGAAGCTTTTCTCATTTGGTTACCACACTCCTCACGGTAGCAGCTAATGCTATCACTGACATGCTTCTATTGAGAGAGACAGAAAAAAACACTACTGGGGTAGTTTAAAGGTTATTTGTTGTTATTTATTCTTTAAGTAACTTAGAGGGGAAGTCTTTCTTGCTGTTTTGAAAGAGGGTGCAATTTCTTAATTGCAAATGCACTTTTTTTATTCGATGACTGGAGATTTTTTTTTGATGTTATGACTTAAGCTTGTTCTTCATCTTTTACCAAAGTGAACACATACGCATGCTCTCTCTTCACTTCAGAAACTGAAGTGGGTTTGGGGGCAATTAGCTTGGTTTTGTTTTCAAGAAGCATATGACAGCTATTTAGGTGGTTGTAGCTGATTTTTTTTAATTTTTTTTTATTTTTTGTAAACAACGATGTTATTTTAGCATTGATGTAGCAGTAGAGAATGAGGTGTGGAGAGTGCCAGCTGAAGGCAAGTACACTCAGTCCTTGCTGGTAGCTTCAGCTTCTGCTGCTTCATGAGAAAGGTGACTACAAGTTAGTAGGGTAGGAAGTGTGGAAGGAATTTGATGTGTGTGAGGAGGGCCTACATAATGAGACATTTTGCTCTCCCTCTATATCTGAATTAACTAAATAGTGTGTGGAAGAAAATTCTGATTGTTCTTCAATACTGGTAATGTTCTGACTTGATACAGTTCTGACTTGTAAGCTGTGGAAGATGAATAGTTTTTGGATGAGATGGGTATTAGTGAGCTGTTGTTGAATGTTGCCTTCTTTATGCCGGATATTTCGGATTATAGTTCAGCACCAAAATTGGTTTTGGAGTTGCTTGTAGCTGGGGCTTCCTAAGACGAAGGAACATGGTTTTGATGATGGTAAAGCTTTGAGTAGGAGCACCAGCTTAGCTTAAATCAAGTTCATCCAATACGTGTCAGGGTTGTCTTTAGTTTCAGTGTTGTTTTGTTTTGTTTCCAAACTATGAGTGGTATCCTTCAGCTCAGTTTTGGGAGATGTAAGTTCTGCCTCTGTGTGGTACTCTGTGCATGTTTACTCAGTATTTCAAAGCCAAAACAAAATACTGTTCCCCCCCCCTCCTTCCCCCCCCTCAAAAAAAAATTAAAGAAGGAAGGGGGAGGGCTTTATAAAGCTACTGAAAATAATGGTATTTAAAGGTTAAGCATAAAAATAATTATTTCAAGGACTAAAGGTTTAAAAGTACATCTGAAAATTGAATTATCTTCAGTATAGAACCAATAGCTGAACTTCGTGAAATTCAGGTATCCTTCCAGGATACTGCAGTAGTTGTATGAAAATCATTTTTTATTTGTTCAGTATCCTTCCAGAATAGTGGCATTTGCAGTAGTCTTATGAAAACTGTTATACATTCAGACTTTTCAGTTTAATTTACAGAAGTCCTTTGTTTAAACACATATTAATTTGACTGACTTTTCTATTATTAGTTCATAGCTATTTTTGTAAAGAAGGACTGTATAATGGGTGAGATGGTGAAGCTGGCCAGACTGTGGAGCACATTATGAGCCATTGGTAGCTTGCTTTCTGTGCTTTTCAGTGTGCTTTAAAGGAGTGATTGAGATTGTAGAATCACAGAATCCTTAGAGTTGGAAGGGGCCTTTAAAGGTCATGTAGTCTAGCTCCTCTGCAATGAGCAGGGATATACACAGCTGAATCAGGTTGCCCAGGGCTTGATCCAGCCTTGCCTTGAAAGTCTCCAGGGACAGGGCATCAACTGCATCTCTGGGCAACCAGAGTTCCAGTGCCTCAGCACACTTGCTGTAAAAGGTATTTCCCTTATATTCAACTAAATCTACCCTCTTTAAGCTTGATATGTGATACGTCCTCAAAGAACTGGTAGCAATATCAAGTTTCCATTTCAAAGAGCTCTCTGCACAGTGAACTCTGTTGAGATTTGTTTGGAGCGTAGCTTCTTTTCAGTCTGAACCATTTTTCAGGTTGAAACTCAACATAGAAGTAATTCTGTGTTTGCTGACTGGGAGAAAGCAAATTAAGGTAGCAACCATTAGCAGACTGAGGGGAAAGCAATCTGGATTACTGCCAACGTTGGCACAAATACTGTTTGAATAGCAGTTTTGGTGCAGTTTCACAGTAATTTAAAAAAAATCAAGCCTGAAATGACATGGTCCCACTCTTTCTGTGGTACTGATGCAAGTATTTCAGTACATTATAGGTAGCTGTAGGTGTTTCATCAGATTGAGTTGTCACATATAATTCCATTGGATACAGATGTAACTCCAACTACCAAGTAGGATTCATGACCTACCAGCCTCTCATTTAATTTTACAGAATGACATCATTAATGAAGTCGGAATGTTGTTTTTTTGTTGTTTTTATTGGTTTGCTGGGTTTTTTGTTTGTTGTTGTTGAAGTATAGCATTCGATATCTTTGGCTTGAAATATACTGAAAACACTGATAGGTTGCCTGGTTGATGGCGGAGGCCAAACTCTTGTTTGGTCTTAGCATAATTGAGTTGCTTTTGGGGGACTGAAATGCTTTCTGAATTTCTCTGCAGTTTTATTGTAATCATTTGAAGTACTTTTAAATAGAGAATGCAGAGTGTTGGCTGTCTTAAAAAGAAAAAAAAGTTGAAACTTGAAAAAGGCTTGCCAGTTTTTGTACATCTTTGGAAAGAGTACAACATGCTAGCAATCTAAGGAAATGATAAACAGTTCATAAAAGGAAATTTTCTGGAGAACAGCATGGAGGATGAAATATTCAGGAAGAAAACAGTGACAGAAATCAGTTTCAGTCTTTTCTGTGCAAAACTGCTTGAAAATTGCTTAAAATAAGCTGAAATTCCCAAGTGTTTTTTATGACTGTTCATGCAAATAAATTTTGATTACTCTCTCCTATTGCTAGTTGGAGTACCAAGAAGACTTCTTGGCACTGTAATTTTAAATTCTGTATTCCTGCAGATACCACTGTAAGTGTGTCTAGATCAGTGCTGTTCTATGTAAACAATACACTGTATTGCTCAGGGTTTTTGTCTTTCTAGGTCAGTAGCTTTCTTTATTGTGTTTCCAGCTTATCTCAGTTGAAATTCTGATTGTCTTGGTACTTTCCAGGTAGTGTGGATCTGAATGTTTTGTCAGTCAGGATGCCCGCGTACTGGAGTCTCCTCCCATCATTGAGGGGAAAACTCCAAAGGGTGTATGGATGGGTTTCTTTGCTTTATGGATCTTGTCTGCTGTGCTGTAATCATAGGCAGGCAGCTTGACCTGGAGACACTTGAATTTCTTGGCCTCATGCATGTCTTCCCCTTATGTCAGAGACGGATCTAAAGTCCTCGCTGCCTCACTTCTGTAGGAATGTTATAATCCTGTACATATATATATACAAGACTAAAGTCTTGTATATACAACACAGATGTTTTTATCTTGTATATTTATTAACAGCTGAGATGAGGAAAGTTGTGGAGATAGGATGCTGCAAGGAGATGGTAAATCTCTCCGTAGAAATTAAATGCTAAGTTGAGGGGGGGTGGAAACAAACAAGATCCTGGCGATAGCAGCTCAGAACAGATGGATCTCTAATCTCTTCTGAAAGCTTGATGGTACTACTTTGGTAAACTTTGTCAACTGCTACTTCAAGTTGGAAATGAAAACTTGTGGTGATAGTGTATAGGAAAAATAACATTTTACCTCTGATCCACACATTTCCAAAGATTGTTTCTGTAACATATCTTTTAACTGTACATCTCTGTTGGTGCTAGGCTTTTGTAACCAAGAATCATTCCGAATCATTTGGCATGAATAAAATGTTAGCATGCAAAAATAAAGGTTTGTAGGGGAGGGGGAAGTACAGAGAATGTTGTGTCACTGAGATGGGATTTTGTATTTGTTGCAGTGTGGTGAAGGTCTTCCTTGGTGGGAGCGTTGGTGGGCTAACCAGCATTGTCCTGGAAAAGCTAATAGGAAACTTAAGTTGGTTAGCAGTCCAGCTTTGTCTCTGAAGTGTAGTACGCCATCCTGAACTGATCGGTGCTTGTGTTGCAAGGCACAGTCTGGCTACCAGTCAAGAAAAAGAGAATATTGGTATATTGGTATATTCAGATAAGGATCTACATCAGTTTGGATGAAATTTTTGGATAGCCTGTGGTTGAAAATAAGAATTTAGTATCTGGCAGGGGAGTATTGAACCTTCAGCTAGTTCAAGTGTAAACCAGTTTCAACTTAAAGCATGTGGCACTGTTAACATGCTGAGTGCTTTATGGCAGTGTTTGAAACTGTGAGCATTGCTTTATTGACTTGAAGTGTGGAAAGTACCAAAATGCCATGCAGAACTCTTGCTGCTAAAGCAAGGTAAGTATGCTACCATCACAGATCCTCCCAGGTCATCTCATTTATCTTGCTTGAGGAAGCTGTGTAGCTACCAAGGCATCATTTCTGCTGGAAGGTGCTGGTGCTTCCAAGAGGAGTCCGTGAGGCATTGTGTGGAAATGCAGGTTACAGGAAGTATATTTCAGTACAAAATGCTGTGTGCGTGTGCTTTGGAGAAGAATGTTTTAATCTAGATTTTGGTAATTGTTGCAAAATACTACATATACTGCACACTATACTTAAAATCTGCATTATAAATAGAAGTGCTATTAAGATGGGAAAAAGTATGCTGCCAATTTTGAAGATGAGTAAGAAAAACAAGAGGGTCATTTTAAACCTCATTTGCTCCCCTAAAGGAGGCAGGAGTTGTCAACTTTCTGCAGAAAGTCCTGTGAAATATCAGCTCTTTTATTGAGGAAAAAGTCTAAAGTTGTATGTACTGCATTGTTATTTGTGCAGGGGAAGCAAAGCTAAAATTACACATGCATCATTCACCGATTTCTGTACTGTAATACTCTGAAAATGTAAGCGTTTGAATTTTGTTTGTGCTTAATTTCTGTGTTGGTATGCTGAGTCATGGAGTTGGGGTCAAATCTTTTTTTTTCTTATTCACGTTTTAAACAGTTTGGTCTGTCAGAGGTTTTTAACAAGTAGTTGCTTTTAAAACGAATGATGATACAATGTTTTTGCCAATTTATAAACAAAGAGTGATTCTGTTTAACACAAACTTAATTGAACTTATATTGTCCTTATCTGATAGGAATTTCAACTGGACTGTTGAATCTTTTAAAGCATTAATCTGATTTTTTTTTTTTAAAAGCAGATTATGTCTAGTCCAGATGTTTAAAACATCAGAATTTCTGTGGAGTACTCAGGGCTGATTGAAGCAGATTGCTTAGAAATGGGTTTTGTAGCTAGGTAACCAATTGTACAATACCTGGGACCTGTGAGAGACAGGATCCTGGTCACACACAGATGACTTGCAAATTTCCTCCTTGTGAGAGGGATATGGGTAGGGAGATAGCCCTGCATTCCTCTTGCCTAGGAAGAGGAACCCCTGCAAGCATTGTGTTTGGGAAATGGAATAAAAATGCATTCATTTATCTTCTGCTTAACCTTGGTTGCACTATCTAACATTTTTGCCGTTGGTTTTCAGAGCAGTCTGTTATTTTAATGGAGTCTTTTACAGTACAAACCTTTCGTATTAAAGACGACGACCATCTTTTTCATAAATACTTGTGCAAAGGCATCTCTGTGAAGTACTGTGTTGTTGCTGTGGTTGTGAAATCAACATTAAATATAATTGCTTTTATTGTGTATTTGCTTGCGTAAATACAAAAAAAAACCAAAAGTGTTCCTACTTTCTGCTGTTGTTTTCAGGTGGCATTGATTCTTCACAGCCCGTGCAGTCTGTGAGCCAGAGCGTTCAGCTTACCAAGCCTGGGGTTGGGGCACCTGCTTCCTCTGCTCTGATATCCTCAGTGAGGACGCCGGCCCCAGGCCTATCTTCACAGCCACGATCCTCACCCTCCATTACACAGTCACCGGACTCAGCCCTTCAGGAAGGTACTAAAAGGGAATGGGGAATTGTAATACAGACCTCTGCCCTGTTCCACGTGTGGATTTGGATGCTGGAAGCTTCATTGCTCTTTTGCATTTGTCTCACTAGTCGACTTCTCCCATCTTGTCAAGCTCCTTTAGTGTTTGTGACACTCTGGTTCTGTTTGTTTTTTACTTTTCTTTTCCCTCTTGTGTTTGATTTCCTCTGGTTATGTATTGTCACTGGCTTTGCCTGCCTTATTGTCAGTTGCATGTCTCTTCCTTTCAAAGTATTTCGCTTAGTTCCATTAAAGAGTTGTTCACAATCCTGATATCCTGGAAGAGAGGCTTGAAAGTATCTTTTGTAATAAATCTGTTGCAAAATCAGATATAAACTAGCAATAGTGTAGCTGTTTTCGTAAAACCTGCTGCAAGCTCCTGTGGAAAGCTACTGCAGGAGCTACTGATGGAGCCACAGTGTTTTGAGTTGCCTTTTAGGCTGTTTAATATCTATGTTCCTACTATTCTTAACCTAATGTATTGCAGTGTTTTATTTCTTGCTGTGTAATTTCAGAATTTTAAATTCTTATGGAAAAATAACTCATTGTGCAGAGTGGAAGTAGACGCTGGTTTTATTCAGAACAGGGTGATATAGTTAGCCTTCAAAATAATTCTCAAAACTGTAGTGTTTGGCAATCACAGCGTGCTTTTCATTTCTAACTTTAAGAGTACTGACATCCATGTGTAAACTTCTCCTTCTCTTCCATTTCTTCCTTTTTGCCTATGCAGCGAGGAACATAAAGAAATAATTTCTGTGAAGAAGATGGAATCAATTCACAAAGATAATTATTCATTGCTACTAAGTGCTACATACAGTGTACTGTTTCCAGGAAAATAACTCAGAGCTGTGCTTGATTCTTGCACGGTTCTGTAGATTGCTTTGGTACTGGGTAGAATTTAGTTGTACTGCAGTTGTGTTTGCTAGAAAAAAAAAAAACAACACTGCTTAACTTCTAAAGAAACAGCATGACCCTGTTGCAGATGAGAAAAAGGACTTAGTTGTTTAATTTTGCTTGCCTTAATGTGCTATGTATATATAGCAGATTATCTATCTATATACGTACATGTTTTCTGCAGTGATTCCTAAGTAATGTATCACATGTTCATGTGGAATTAAATGCGGATCACTGTGGTCACTGCTGAGCTCTGCACTAAATTCAAAATCATATATGTAAGTTAAGGTTTGTGCTGTATGTAGCTGGATGAGCACTCTTCACAACCAGTGCTGTGCTTGTACATATGACAGGAATATGTAGCTAAGTCATTGGGTGCTTGCAATGAGCTAATTGTATTTACATTATTGTAATCAATAATTTATCTGTCTCTCATCAAATGCAAATTTCTACTTTTTTGTAAGTACTAGAAGACTTTGTAAACATTTTTCAATTAGTTTCTGTTGTAGGAGTCTGAAATGCATAATGTATTCTTGGAATACCTTTTTAGCACCAGTTAAGTGTGATAACTTCTTTTGTAGAAATTTATCTACTGAAGAAATTGAACATATCTTCTGAATATTTCTCTGGGTTCTTAGAAATTTACACGTGTTTCTCATACAGTGGTGAAATGGACTGATTTTTATCCTAACAGTAGCGTTGTCTACATGGGAATGTTCTGGAAATAAGATTTGCATTCGTTCAAGTCTCTAGTGTCTTTGTTTTAAGCCCTTGTGTGGGCATTCTTATGTAGCATTTAAATATGGCAATTGCTTAGTTGGGTAAGTTCTTCCAGGGGGGTGAAAAAAAACACCTAAAATGTATTCAAGGATGTTTCGTCTTAAATGTCCATACAGATGTAATGCAGATAAAATAATCTTCTTGGAAATGGCATCCTAGGGATGGACTTTTGTGTGCATATATCCTATCTGGATGTTTTTTATGTACTCTCTTATGTTCTGTGTTGTTGAGAGGAACTGATAAGTAACTGAAAATAATACAAAGCTAAGATAAAGAAGAGAGTTCACTTAGTAAAAATTACTATTTGCAGTATTACAGTGTTCTTATCCTCATAGCATGTGCATTGAAAATATGAGGCTTATGCAACTGAAGACCTTTAAAATATAGTCTATTTTTGCATGTCCTTATTTCATTTTCATTCTTGGTGAGGCCTCTATTATGAAACTTAACCTACATAAGCATACAGTTTTTTTTAAAGTGTTCTATTATATGAGTGGTTGTTATTTAAAATATCTAGATAGCTGGCTTATTTCACAGACAGATGATTTCTTAGTATAGTTTAGCACTTTCCTTCCTTTTTTAAGCAAGGAATTTTTAGGACTGGAAGACTTAAATTATTGGCTACGTAGACGGCACTAATCAGAATGATTAGTTATGATCACACTTGAATTGCTGTGTCAGCCACCCGTGCCTGTCCCTCAGTTGCCTTCTCCCATGTGCTGGCCTACTGGCTGTGCCACTGCCCTGTGAACCAAAGTGAGGGGTTTCTGCATCTGAGATTGACTTTTTAAATGGAGTTATTTTTCAACCAGATCAGATGATGCATTTGTTTGCATCATTGAACAGTTGTGCTGGTAGAACGCAGCAGTATCCTAAAGGCAGAAATTTGTACTACTGCTGGCAACAAAAATAATGTTCCGAGCTGGTAAGGTGAGAGTTCAGCCAGCCCTGCTTCCAGACTTCATAATGACCTCATAGTTTCTCATTACTAAATTACTGTCATTCACATATTTTCATTTATCTTCAGTATTCTTTCTGAACCACGTGTTGTCTTTGTGTATGAACCAGTGACAGGAAAAGGAACAGTTCTAGAAATACGAGTGTATTTACTTGTTTTTTTTTTTTCCCAGCATTTTATAAAGATTCCAAAGGGGGCATAGTAGAATGACTAATTCATTCCTTTCCTTTCATTTGTCCGTGCTTGGAATTTTTGCATTGGTGTGCTCTTTTCAGGTAGATCTACTTTCCATCCTCCTCTGTCTGTGATATTTGTTAGGAATCTGTCTTTGCACTCACATGCTGTGCTGAGCTTTTGTTGTGACCTCTGTTTCTGTCACACTTCGTAACTTGTCTCGTTACCAATCCCTGTTCTGATTTTTTACTTATTGCATGTCAGTGATCTTAAGTTGATTTTTCTCCTTCACCATGATTTAATTGTTCTGTCTTATTCATCAGGAGTTCTCCTGTGCCTGAGAGAATGACGTGGTCTCTTCAGCTGTATTCTCTTTTGGGGCAAAGAAAGTTTTTTTTGTTGTGTTTTTTTTTTTTTTGTATCATTATCAAGTGCATCTGGTAGCCTTCACAGGAGATGAGGAGACGAAACAGTGGTGCTAGCTGTACAGAGAAACTAAAACATTATACTGTGGTTGTCTTCACTGCTTCCTAGTTATTGAGAAAAAACTCGATTGGAGTTGTAAGATTGTGATGTGCTAAATGAAGGGAAATAATGTCAGTCACTTTGTGCACTAAACTCTGTGTGAAAGGTACAGCTTCCCAAGAATGCTGTGATACACCTTTGCTCTGTTTTCTTTTTACACTCACTGTGCATAGATGCCCTTCGCCTTGACTCTTGTTTTCCTTTAGTGAAATTGAAGCAGTGCTTTGAGGCTGCTTACGTGAGGAAAAAAGAAAAGAAAAAAGGCATGTACCTGATATTTTAATTAAAATAAAGGTTGATGTAGTAGGTTTGAGTTTGCAGTTGGGGTTAATAAATACTGTGATGGTTTCAGATTGTTTAAGTTGTCATGTCAAGTTGTCATGAAGCCATGTCAGTTTTGTAGTGCTATGTAGTGTGAAGATAAAAAACGGTCCAGTGTAATGGTGACATTGTTTCTGTGGGGAGTGAAATCCTAAACTCCTGAGTTTGGAAGATTAAGATTTTGCTATAGTGGTCAACCAGATTGCTGGGAGGGGAAATTATGTTTCTTTTTGGTGTGTCTCTTTCTGGCTGCAAGCCTGTTTCAAAAACTGTCCTAACCCTGTCCCACAGCAAAGGAAATTTAAGAGTTCTTGGAAATGTTTAGACTTAATTAGTAACATTGTGTATTCATTATAAAATACTGCAGCGTGCTTTACTCTTTTTAAAGTGATACGTGCATGTGCTGTTTTTGTGTATTGTTCACATATGTTTGTTTTAAATACCGTACGTGTCTGGTTTGGAGTTGTCTATGAGTTGTCATCAGATCTTAAACGTGAATGGTAATTTTTAAGTATATGGGTCTACAAGCTTGAATTTAGGCACTAATTCTAAAATAACACTAAGTTTTCAGGTTTGCCTAGTTTAAATTTCACTGAAAGTGTTGCTGAAGTCTACGTTTGAATTCTTATTCCCTGTAACAGCAGTGTGTTTCATTAATTTCTGACAGCTTTCACACTTTGAAAGTGAATGCCTCCTGCTTTAAAGGGCAACTGTGCCAAGTAGAAGTTGAGTATCAATGCCTTCATAACATAATTCAAAATTATCTGAGAAGGAACACATTTATGTATAGGTGTTGCTTTTTGTAGACATTCCAGGCCAAACTGCTGTTAACCATCTATGCAGAAAGTCTATGTGTACATAATTTACACACACAGATGCGAAACTTTCTGCTAACTTCTGTGTTACTAATACCTCACTGGCTCACTAAAAACTGCTTCTGCTGTATACTTCATAGATCAACTGTGGGTCTAGTTCTCTAGATCGTATAGGGTTGTACATTCAACTGTTTGCATGTTGGGATTTTCTCTGGAATGGCTAATATCTCTCACTTTTATTGCAATGATTTGTGACTTTTGTTTCTCATCTTTCCTGTCTGTCTGATTCTTATGTTTGTGCTTTCCACTTCACAGGCATGCAGTATGGTGGATATGTTAATAATCAAGCTAGCACTGCACCAACTCCCTTGTCATCAAGTTCAGATGATGAGGAAGAGGATGAGGAGGATGAGGAAGCAGGTTGGCTTTAGCTTTACACCAGTATCTTATTCCCTTCCTACTCAAGTTTTGTTCCATATTTCTCTCCCCTGAAATTATTTTTCTTTATTTGAGACAGAAAGTCATTTTGACTCAGTATGTATCACGTTAACTAGAGAATTCCCATACATTAAGTACTATTGCAAACAGAAGGGAGTTTGGTAGTGGTCATCAAATGTTCTTTTCATATTAATATTATGTTTGTTTCTTTTCATATTAAGATCCAGATGTTTAATGTATCTCACTGGGTAATATTCTCAGCTTAGAAGACTCACTGAGTTTTAGTATTTATATTTGAAGTAGGTTTTAAATCACCAAGTGAAGATACCAACATATGGAACTCTAGACTGATAACAGTTTATTTTGCAAATAAAGCAACTGCATGCTACTTTTTATAATATTAAACAGGACTTACCTGGTTATCCATTCCATATATAGGAAAACCTTACAATTAAGGTAGTAAAGTATAAAAATATTGGAAATTTTTAAGTTTGGGTTTTTTAAGACAGTAAACTAATCTATTTCATTTTTCTTTCTTCTTTCATTACATTTCTGCAGCTCAGAGACATAGGTTCAGTTTTAACCTGCTTGCTTTGTGGCAACCTAAATGCAGTTACTGTTTTTTAGGAAGCAGTTTCTCCTGCTTGATTGAAATGTTAGGCTTTTGGCTGCAAGGATTTTGTCTGTATTTGACAGAATTGTCTGGTTTTCAAATTCAGTGTGTTGTGTTTCTTGAACGGCAGCTGTTCCTTCCAAAGAAAGCTCAAAGAAAAGTTTGCTTTGGCGGCTGTGAGGCAGATGCTGTTTGAACTTTGCTTTCTGAAGAATAGAGGGTTTTTTTTTGTGCTGGGCTTTCTACTGAGTTTTCTGCAGAAAACTGTGTTTGCCTAATCCCCTCCCCACCTCCGAGCTTCTTTTACCACAACCTTTTTTTACTTATTTTGCTCCCAAGCCCTACTAGAGACTAAATTCTCTTATTCTCTACTATCCTAAATTGTGAAGATCTGTATTTCCATTAAAGCTTGTGGTCTTTGAACTATCATCATTTTCAAAACTCAGAAGAGTGCAAGGGCATCTAGACTCAAAGCATAAGCTGCCTAACTAACAAGTTTCCTCTTTTATGCCCTGTCACCAGGGGTTGACATATATCCTGACAGATTGCGAGCTCTGGCTGTGCCAGTGGTTTTACAAAAAACAGGTGTGTTGTACATCTGGTTGTCTGTTTTTCTGTAGGTTTTCAAAGCTTTTTTGTACTGGGGCCTTTGACTATCATGCTAACTGTGTGAAAGCTTAAGTTATTTTGATGAAAATAACTAGATAATCTTAAAAGCATGTTGTAAGTATCACTTCTGTCCGAATAGTGTCTATAATTATTATTATTTTTTAATTCTAAAAATTTTTTTCCCCTTTTTCCTAGCATCCTCTGGTCTGGTGCTTAAAGTACTAAAATAAATGAACAGCTGTTGGAGCTTATTTTAAGTATAGGCAGCTATTTAATTTTATGGCAGTTCTTGTGTTCTTTATTGAGGGAAAATGGTAAAATTTTAGATGCATGTAGTCACCTTAGAGTCCAGAGGTATTTCTGATCTGCAGGGAACTGCACACCTCATTGTTTTTGTAGTAAACCACATAGTTCCCAGTGGACAGTGAGGTGTGTATTAATTCTTGTCCTCATTGGTACCCTGACTATTCTGAGAATGTGTTACAAAAATGTCAACAGTCTTAAGAAGGAAAGACCTTATGTGTAAGCTCTTCAGTAATTATATGGGATACTCTGAAGGGAATTCATGTTATTTTCTTAGGCAGATCCTGTTTGTGCTTCAGAATATCTGAGGTCGTAGTTTAGCTAGAACATCTCTGTATGTCAAAATTGCTGCTTGTTTTTATTGATACTGTTTTCTGTTTAGTAGAAATAGGACTAAGATGCATTATTTTTATTTCCAGCATGCGCTTGAAATATTTTCTTATTTTCTCTGTTTGTCAGTTTGTTTTCTCTTGCCCTCCAGGGAGAGCTTGGGAAGCATATAATGTTATTTTTTGTAACTCATTCTATCATTAATATCGTCTAAGGATAGAGAATATTTGATTTTATGTGCAACTGCATTCCAGATAGATTTCTTTTAGTGAGTACAGTTTATTGTGGAGAAAAATGTCTAACTGGTGACACGGTGGTTAAATGGGAGATCTTGAAGTTGTCTTGTGTGTTCAGAGTTGTGTGTATATCTTCTTGGTATTCTTTTGAAATGCAGAACAAGCTCTTCTGGTCAGATGAAAAACAACTTACTTAAACTCTTAAGTAAATTTCGTTGACCTAGTAAAAGCGTATTTTGACTTCTTAGTAGTAGGACAAAGCAAAGCTGTGCCACACACAAAATCTTGAATCCGGTTTCCTTTCGTTTCTAGAACACAAAACAAACAGCAAAACCAACAAAAGCTCAACCATGTTGGTACATTGGTTCAGTTTGGCCTGAAGTGGGGATGGTGCGTGATCACTCTGAAGATGATGGGAGACTTCTGTTGTTAGCAGTTGTTTAGGAAATTGTAGCAGTCTGTTTTTAAAATGTTGTACATCGCTTTGTTTCATGTGATTCAGAAAGAATAATCTCTTGGAAGAATTTTTTTGGTTTCAAGAAACAACTTTTTTGCATTGCTTTTGTCCTACCACGTGTCTCTCTTTTGCCATTTGTTTTGTGTTAGTTCCTAAAAATACGTTGATTATTCATCTCTTCTTTCCTCTCCTTTTTGCAGTGGTAATAGCTTTCAAGTCTTAGGCCATGGTGTTTGTTGTTGTGTGGTTGTTAGGTTTTGGTTGTTGTTTTTTTTTTTGGTAATAAATCTTCACGGTTCCTTACCAGAGTTTTTAGAAAAAAATGTCTCAAAGATTTACTATTTGAGTCACCTAAGTTTTTGTTTTCTCTTTTTTTTTTTCTTAGCACTTGATAGTTCTTCTACTACTAGCAGTGCATCTCCTGTTCTGAACAATTATGATGCCCTGGAAGGAGGTGGCTATCCAGGTAATCCATGTGTTGTTGCATATGAATAATTCTGAATTGTTTGTTTAAATTTACTAAAGTCTCTGCTGTCTGTGATTCTTTTCCCTTTCTGATGTTGATTGTTGTCCATCATTGAACAGGGGAGAGGAATTCCTTTATAGGAACTGGGGTAGCCTTCAGAGAGATCAAGCCTTGCTTTTTCAATCACTTCTCACAGATTTAACAGTGAAGTTTGAGTAACAATTAAGAAAAATTTCTCTGTATCACAGGCCATAGTTTCCATCATAATATTGAGGGCAGTGCTGAAAGTGTGCTCTGTGTGAAAGCAGTTATCTTTCTCTAAGTTATGCTGTGTGCCTGATTGTGTAGGCTTAGCAGCTGATAATAGCTGAGATGCACCATGTGAAGTTTTGAGAGATCAAAGATAGCAGTTGGCAGAGATGGCTGGATCAGGTTATTTTCTTTTTATTCTTCTACATGCAAAGAAGATTTGAAAAACATAGATGGTATGCTGCTTATTTTAATCTTCAGAAATATCAGGAATGTCAGGTTTATTTTATGTGATCTGAAGGTTACCTCAGTCTTCAAATCCGTCATTTTGGGAGCAGGTGGCAAGGGTGCTTGTAGGTATGTTAGTCAATATTATGTTATATATTTTTATATTATAAATAATGGATTAATTTTGGGGATCTGACCATCTAAGAATGTCACAGTAGTTTGCTCAGTCTATGGGTTCTTGTGTAAAGCAAAATCTGTCAGCTAAAATCTTGATACTGCTCTCCCTGTTTGGTCTGGTTGGTGCAGTAAAGGCACAAGAGACATGACTGCAGGAGTATGAATTTTAATTTTTCAGATAATAACCAAGCATTTTAGTCTTGTTGAAGAGTTATTCTGAAAATGGCTTATTCCTTATGCTTCCTTCAAAGAGTAGCAGGATTAACTTTTATTCTTTTTATTTTTACACCACCCATCTGAACTGTTTGAACCAAATCCAGATTCTTCAAGATTGTTTTTTTTGGGCGATTCATATGCCACTTCTCTTCAGATTTTACCAAGACTAAATTCTTCTAAGTCTTATCTCATATTCAGAAGCATTAAATTCGGAAGAATAGTGTTGTTGGTTTTGGTTGTTGGGTTTTTTTTGTTTGTTTTTGTTCTTTTTTAACAATAGTTAAATTTTTTATGGATTGAGGGCTGTGTATTTACTTTCATTTTAACTTTTAACAATCCTGACTCCAAAGCTCTGCTGCAGGAATAGGAAAGAGGGCTTGGATTTCTTCAAGAAAAGCACTATGTCTATATATAGGCATTAGTACTTTCACCTCAATGGTGTGTGTTAAGAGTATTCGTAAGTGGCTGCAGAAGAGACTAAGTATCAGTAGTAAATCCTGGAATATAACGTACAGAAGTGTATGAGGGTGGCTTTTGTTTTGTTGGTTTTTTTTCCTTTTTTAATTGAAAAACTTGTTTTAAAAGCTGTGGAGTTTGGGTTTTTTTTTTTGTTTGTTTTGGTTTGTTTTTGGTTTTTTTCAGAATGACATCTGGAAGTTTTGGATAATAGATACATGGTCTATGGTCATCTTCCCATGTATAACCCGTTTTTGGCATCAGCTGCAGTAGATTTAGTTGCTAATGGCTTATTTACATGCGATCAATGCAAAAAAAATCTTGCTGGATAATGCAAAAATTATAAATGGGAAAAATGTTGCTTGTTAAAATGCATTCAGGAGTTGATGTCTTAACTAAGAAATTGAAATTCTACTGAATATCTGAGGGGTATTTTTGTCCTTCCAGAGACACGCTCTGTGACCAGCAGCCCAGTTCCTACTCCACCAGCCCCTCAAACATCCAAAACTTCCAAGCCCTTTGGTTATGGATATCCAACACTGCAACCTGCCTACCAAAATACAGCACCGCCTACTCCTGTGCAGCCCACTAATCCAAGCCACCATCCTGGGTTTCAGCATTATCCGCAGGTTCATATTTTTATTTTGAAAGTTACTTGATGTAACAAGAAGTCTTTTCTGAATATTTCTTTTTAACATTTTATGTTTGTAATTTGTGAATGAGTAAATGTTGAGTGTCACGCTGATCTAGCTCTGAGTTCCTTGGAAGGCTTTTGAACTGAATTTTGAAGTGTGTTGCCAAGTAATTAAGCACAGCCGCTTCGCTTTTGCTAATTAATCCAGTTATTAATAGCAGCTACAATTTTACGATTTATTGTTCTAAAGATCTATACTTCATTGATGGAAACAATAGGGAAGGCCCACTTACACCACTGAACCATCTTACAAGTAAGGTGTTGCCTGGAGTCCAGATGAAAGAGCTCCTCAAAACTGGGGTGCATGATGTGGCTGGCTGCTTGCTTCTGTTCTAATCTCCTGGGTACCAGAGAGCACCAAAGACCCAAACAGTTGTGTACCCAGTTCTCATTAGCAGTGCTAAGATGTGTGTAAAGGCATGTAGAAAAACAAGCCCACTGATTTGTATACGCTGCTTTTTCTGTAATAATGCTCAGCAAGCAAATGTCACCAAAGCTATTGTTGTCAGTGATCAGAATTCCTTATTGAGCTAAGCATAATACCTTAAGGAAGCATGTAGTAGCCACAAAGCCTTCCTTGGTTACAAAGGTAGTGTAAAATATGATATATAGAGAAAATGCTTAATTTTCAATTGAAAAAAATCATTCTATTCAGTGTAGATTTGTCTACATATTTTTATGTTTTTGTGTTTTTTAGGAAAATCAAATGCCTCTTGAGCATCCATTATTGATTTGGAAAACTTACAGTTTTGTGATCTCTTTTAAAAGTGTTAGTCTTTTTTATTATGATAGCTTAGTTTTAATTTAAATGTCTTACGTAATGAATCTGAAGTTGTTTTAAATTAAAACCGCTGGGCTTTAAAGGTACCTGGTTTTATCTTCCTAAGTTTTCAAGAACGTTGTAGTGTCCTTTCATAAAAGTGGCAAGGCTTATTATGAAATTCTAGACTTCTTTGAGGAGACACAAGGAGAAGAGAGCATCTTAAATTCAGTCTCCAGTCATATATCACGTGTTGTATAGTGAAGAGAGAGCTAGGTTCTTTTCAAGAGCACACAGCAAGAAGGATAAAAAATTGCTGGATGTGAGAGGAGAAATTCCAGTTGTACGTATAAAATGAAAGTTCTCCAGAATGGGATTGGGGAAGCATTAAAACAGGTTGTGCTATGAAGTCTTCTATCCCCTTGAGCACTTTCAGAATTTACCTGGCCAAGACTGTGAGCATTCTTGTTAGCCCTGCTTGATGAGAGTGTTTTGGACTGCCAGAACTGACATGCCTTCTAACCTAACCTTTTCTCTTCTTCTGTGGTGGTTACTATATTTAAAAATAAATATATTTATGTATGTTTAAAATGTTTTTCTTTACTTTGGATGAATTTCACTAACATCTTCAAAGAGGGAAGAAATCTCCTCAGTCTTTCTAGTTAGGTATTTCTCTGTATCCTGGAAAGCTTAAAGCTTTCAGCTGTCACTTCCAGTGACAGTTTGTATATTGTGTTTGAATTTGGTCCCGGGAAACATATTCTAAATCACTGCTGTGAAACGATATTCTTGTTTGTCTGGTTTTGTTGTTATAACTACTGTTGGTATCCTTTTTAATAGAGCTCTGGAAGAAGAAAAATTACAAGAAGATTTAAGATAGTTATGTAAATGTAACTGTGTGTTTATCAGTTTGCAATGCTCTTGGGGCGTTTCGTTTTTTTCTTTTTTTCAGCAATATCCAGGTGTGAACCAGCTGTCCTCTTCCTTAGGAGGGTTAAGTCTGCAGCATTCTCAGCAGCCAGAAGGCTTGAGGCCTGTAAACCTTACACAGGATAGAAATATTTTACCTGTATCTTCAGTTCCAGCTCCTGTGCCGAACTTGAATTCTGATCTTAGGAAATTAAACTGCAGTCCGGAGTAAGTATACTGTGTCTATGTGCTATGTGCTTCAGTGACGGCTTACTTATTTTTTGATGTTACAAATAATTTAAAGCAGGCTACTGTTTTGAAATCTTTGTAATAGTATAATTCCCTTCACTCAAAAATAAGTTTGTCATCTGCATCTTTATGCAAAATAGGAAGTTGTCCTGCCATCAGAATGCTTTATATGCAGTATGAGTGTAGCTTAAAACACAAAGAAACCTGCTGCATCTTTGCCTTGTGTTATCTGTCTTTAAATAAATAAAAGAATAAACTGTATGTTCAACCACTGTAATACTGCAATTATGATGAATAATTTTACCTCCAATTAACATCCATCTGCTATTTCAAGTCAGGTGCATCTCAATATAGTGAAAATTACTTTCCCCCAGGCACTTTAATTCTAATTAGAAAAGGATATATATTCTTTGCTCCAGATTGACTCGTATGGCTGCCCTGTTGGCAATGCACTGTCCCACCAGAAAATAGGTCAGAAATGAGGATATAATCAGTCTTAGGCATGTACAGTACTGCTGACGCTTTGGATTTCTTTAGCACTACTTCTAATTTGAAATCAGTCCTGTACTTTGTATTGCATGAATATAAAAGGTTTTGATCGTCTCGGTATTTTACGTACTCTTCTGCTGCCTTCTTTTACATAAATTTTGCTTTCTTGGACTAGTGAATGCTCGATTCCTTCTTTAGTTCCCTTGTTAAAACAAAATACGATTTTGAGAATGAATAAAACCTGTCATTTTAAATTAAATGTATTTAAAGCAGTTCTTTCTTTGTTTCAAGTTTGTTTTGCTGTATATGTATTACAGAACTACTTAAGTGATGTAGGGGAGTCTACTTCAATTCTTCTGAAAGTTTTTTTTTAATTCCTTTTCCATTACTCTTTAAATCAGCTTTGTAAAATACAAGTTTTCTTAAATGTCAGGGTTCTTTAAAATCAGGAGTTAACACAGTGTTTTTAGCATGTTTAAAACAAAATCATTTTCAATGAAATGCTTTTATTTCTTTTCAGTTCATTTCGATGTACATTGACAAATATTCCACAGACGCAGGCTTTGTTAAATAAAGCTAAACTTCCTCTGGGTTTGCTGCTACATCCCTTCAGAGACTTAACGGTAAAGTAGCTTACTTTTTTAGTGTATTTATTTAATATATTCTAATATCCTTTTTGGATCAGACAGAATAAGATAAAATGACCTGTAATTACTAAATATAACAGAAGGTGCTGAAAAAAAAAAAGTTTGGGAATCAAAAGAGAGAATTTAAATCTTGAAATTGCTGCCTCATTGAAATTGATAAGGGAAAAGCTTGGGACTTGCCCTCCTTTTTTTTTTTTTTCCTTATTGTTGAAATGGCGAACAAAGATTTGTTTGCCGGTGGTTTTCTGGAGCTCTGAATTGAAGTTTGGAGTGTGAGGATCAAAGCTATGGGATGCTTTTTGAAAAGGTGTTCACAGTGCTTTCTTGAAAGGCAATGCTAACATGACAGCATTTATTGTGCCAGTAATACAGGCAATAGATGCTACACACAATATAAGATTGAAAGGTAGAAACTATGTTAAAACTGTTGAGCTGCTGTTCCATTCCATCTAGCTTGTTTATAATTATGTAAAAAGGTTGACAAGTTATCTGATACAGCCTTCTTTTATTTCTGGGAATTTTTTAGCATGTAAGGTTTGCTGTCTGAGCATCCGTGGTCACAATTTGTCCTTTAATAACAAATCTTACTGTAGTTAGCCTTATTACTATGGCTGACTAATTTTATTTGAAGTAGTGTAGCATCTGAGATTAATGAGTTTGGATTAAGATAATTGAAATTATTACTTCTGATCTTAAAGAGATTTTTAATAGGCATTGTCACACACTGTGAAAATGGTCTAGAAAAGATCATGAAAAATGATAGAATGTCTTTTGAAGCTTTTATACACTGTGCTGCACAATAATGGTCTTCATAAAATGTATTAGCTACCTTTGTAACAACTTTCTATTCTTTTGTTTTAGCAATTACCAGTGATAACATCAAGCACAATAGTGAGGTGCAGGTCCTGCAGGACATACATCAACCCTTTTGTTTCTTTCATTGATCAAAGGAGGTGGAAATGTAATTTATGTTATAGAGTTAATGATGGTAAGTTTTGTAACAGAAGAAGCTTGCATTAATATAATATATTTCTAGTATTTGCATTGTATCACTCCGTGGGATATTCTTAAATAGATTAAAATGATAGTAATCTGAAGATGTTTGTTTAAGTATCTGAATTTTGTCAGTTATTGTGCATTTCTTAAGAAAAAATCATTTTGCAATTCTGTGGGAGACTGAGAATGTAATCAAATTACCCCGGCTTACTTGTGTAATAAAATCAATTTACACCACCAACTGCCATTGTAACGTGCAACTGGACGGATGATGACAGCTAAATACTGTGTGCAATCTAAGCCTGATATTATGATAAGCAGTAGAGATTGAAGCTTGTTGTGAAAGACTCAATTTGCATTCCTTCTTTTAACGTTTGGGTTATTTTACTGTTGAAAATGAAGCTTTTTTCATTTCTAGTTTTTTAACTTTGATATATGGGATGCTTTTTGTCTTGTATCCTTAATGCGAATATTTTTCCTATTAATTATTGAAATCTGTCTGTGTTCATTTCAGTAATTGTTTTTATTTGCTAGCAAGCATATAAATTCTGGAAACTTCTTTTTTTCCTAGTCCCTGAAGAATTTATGTATAATCCTCTGACGCGATCTTATGGAGAGCCGCACAAACGGCCAGAGGTCCAAAATTCTACAGTGGAGTTCATTGCTTCCTCTGACTATATGGTAATAAATAAATTGTTGTGGTGAGCTTCCACAGAATTGCACGTTAATATAAATGCACTTGAAGTTAACGTTGAACATGGCATGTTGCTCAGGTGATATGTAGTGATTTTCCTATAAAGGTACTCCAAGACCAGAGAACACTTAAAGCTCACATTTTTTTTGAGTTTTGGCAAATGTATATATTCAATCCAGTGCACTTTAACATTACACAGTCTGTTTTGATTGTGGTACAGTGCGGTTTCTGGATTTTCCCTTTTAGTGAAGAGGTTTTGAAAAGCTGGTTGTGAAATAACAAGAGAGCTGGGTTCAAATTATTATTATGTTTCTAACCAGTAATCAACCTATGATTGCTGTAATAGTAGTCTTGTCTTAAGAATGATAAACAAAGCTTGGAAATTGGCCCTGTTCATAATGACAGTGTTAATTGCAGCAAAAGTAAATTGCTCTTTTGAAATGGAATTGGAGCACTGTGGCCGATATGTTTGGGAATGAATAAGTAGAGCTTGCTATGTAGTTGTAAATAGACTGTTATTAGCACGGATTAATGTATCGTGTTGTCCACATTCTGAAAGACCAATGAGTTTAGAAAAGTAAATTCTGTATCTGGGAGAAAAACTTGATGCTAGAGTTTAGTGTTGGAAGGAGAGTCTAACAAATTGTTTTTTTGTTCTGAAACATAATGTTGTATACTGTTGCAAATAAGGAGTGTTAACCACTGGGAATTATTTTTATATAAGAATTTATTCACCTGGCTGTTAGTTAATTTTATTCTTTGGTACGATGTGTAGCTTGCATTATTTTAAATATTCCCTTTGTCACCCTTCTATTGACTGAAGTTCTTTAACATTTCTTTAACTATGATTTTTGTGTTTCTTTTTTTTTTGTTTTTTTTTTTTTCACTTTGTAGCTTCGTCCTCCTCAGCCTGCGGTGTATTTATTTGTTCTAGATGTCTCTCATAATGCAGTGGATGCTGGATATTTGACAATAGTCTGCAATTCATTGCTGGAAAACCTGGACAAGTAAGAATATAAGTAATCTCTTAAAATTAGCTAATAAGTGTTTACGAATTGTAGTAACCTAAAGTTTTGAAGACAACTTGCATATGATGTTTAAAAGTGCTGTCCCTCAGGGACAGAAGTTCACAAGATTCTGAAATGAAACGTTCACGTCTTAAAAACAGGAACAGCGGTAATAACAGTACAATAAAATAGCGCAACTGAGAAGTGTCTTCCCATTTTGTGGTTAAAGGTGAATCTGTGAAGAATATAGAGCTGTAATTTCTAAGAATATGAACAAAGATGTAAAATGCTCATTTATAATTAGGAACAACAAAAATAGTTCAATGACAGATTTTGGCCAGCCTTCAGATGCTGAAACAGCTGAGGTGCTGCATAATGAAATGTTGTAACGGCTAGTGTGAAGCTGCCTAGTTGAATTGTACAGTCAGTTTGGGTTTTTTACATCAGTTAGCTGTGTCTATCTGTGCCACCTTCTGTACGTCCCTCATTTTTGCACTAGAACAACATCTGGAATTTTTGTTGGTGCTTTTTGTGGGAGGACCGATGAACTTCACTGTGCTCGTGCGTCTCAAAAAATGATACGCATCGTATGGAAACCTTTCTTTGGAAATTCTTTTCCACAGCATCTTATTAGGAAACTTAAAATTTTCATTTTTGATAAAGGCACCAACACATACATAAAATTCTTCACTTACAAATACTATATTAGTCTTTGTTCAGAGTCTCATTTTTAGGAAAAATCATAAAATGTCATGTGTTTGTAATGCCGTACATAAGAATATGGGCCAACCTCCCCATTTAATACGAGACCCAGGGCCCCGTCCAATCTGGCCTTGCACACCTCTGGGGACAGGGCATCCACAACCTCTCTGGGCCTGTTCCAGCACCTCATTATTCTCTGCAAAGAACTTCTCTCTGACATCCAACCTAAATCTTCCCTCCTGCAACTTAAAACCATTTCCCCTTGCCCTGCAGTTATCAACCCTCTCGAAGAGTTGATTCCCCTCCTGTTTGTAGGCTCTCTTTAGGTACTGAAAGGATGCATTGAGGTCATCCCGCAGCTTTCTTTTCTCCAGGCTGTACAAGCCCAGCTTCCTCAGCCTGTCTTCGTAGGGGACTGTCCTTTTCTGTTTTCTTCTCACCTTCGTAAGTGAACTGATGAACTTTAGCAGAAGCTTTACATATATGTATGTTCTTTATGAGTGAGAAACGTAGAGCCTAATGGTTGTCTTTTTCTTCTGCTAATGCTTAGGCTGCCTGGAGACTCAAGAACAAGAATAGGATTCATAACATTTGACAGCACTGTTCAGTTTTACAACTTGCAAGAAGGTTTATCTCAGCCTCAGATGCTCATTGTTTCAGATATTGATGGTAAGTCCCAAGAAAGCGGAGACATAAATTTTTGTATTTTGTCCCTCTAACAGAAAGATTTGAGTCTCTTGAATATTCCAGTGTTAGGTGAATTTTATTGAATTTATAGGGAATATATTTTTGAAAAATAATCATATGCTATCTACTGAATACTTGATGCTTAAAAAGTGAAAATCAAACATTAACTTGGCTTTGAATAAAGCAAGCTTTGTAAAGGTTACTTATCTCTCAGAAAAGTAGACCTTATTTGGTGGCAGTTACAGCAGTGAGCAATGAAATGTTTTGTTCTATGTTAATGTTGTTGTTTCCTTATTAACTTTTTTCCCTTTTTTCTACAGATATTTTCCTACCTACACCAGATGGCTTACTAGTAAACCTCCATGAAAGCAAAGAGGTATGGTTACTCAAAATTAGCTTATCACAGTTAAGCAGTTAAATATTCATAATGAAAGTTCCTTTTAAAGTTTGAATTCAGGACTATCTGCATAATGTGTAAATGTAATGTTACTTCCTAGCTATAAAAAATATTACACTTCATTTGGCACGTTGTTTTTTAGCGTTACTATTTTGTTTCCCCCTATCGAAGCTAAGCTATTTGGTATTGATTGTTACGGCAAAACAACTTGTTAGAAATAGCAGAAAATCTGAAGCTTGCAAATCTCATAAACAGCTTTTAATCTGTCTTTGCAGCTAATAAAAGATCTGTTGAATGCATTGCCAAATATGTTCACTAATACAAGAGAAACGCACAGCGCCTTGGGCTCTGCTCTTCAGGCTGCATTTAAACTGATGTCTCCAACGGGAGGTCGGATATCTGTTTTTCAAACTCAGTTACCATCCTTGGGCGCAGGGCTTTTGCATTCCAGAGAAGATCCCAATCAAAGGTCGAGCACAAAGGTATAAAAGCTTAGGTATACATCTCAGGAGTCTAATGACTGGACATGTCTCTCTGACTTGCAGAGCTTGCAGATCATTATTGCAGTTCACTAAATTTGAAATGCACAGAGTTAACGAATGTGTGCGGTCACTAATTTAAGCATACATTTGTGGTACTGCACGTGAACTGTTCTTTGGGCCTTTGGTCTAGAACTTTTCTTAATAAGGAAAAGAAAGCATGTGCATCTTCTAATCCATTTGTCATCAGCTTGGGCTTTGAGTGTACATAAGAGGAATGTATTGACCTGTACACTTCAAACATGATTTCTTAATGTATTTATAAGGCCGACAACAATATCTACTAGTTTATTGTAATTATATTAACTTTTATTTGCATGAGTGTGTAAACTTCTCTAAAAGAATTATAACTGCTTATAAAGGTGAACTAAAGTAACATGCAACATAAAATTTTATTTAAAAATGCCTATAAAGAATTGCGTAGAGGTAACTTTTGCTATTAAACAGTACGTCTATTGTTTCTTAATGTCTTAAGGGAGCACATTCAGTGGTCTAATTGTTTCCTGTGTAATTTTTCACCAAAGGTGGTCCAGCATCTTGGTCCAGCAACAGATTTCTATAAAAAGTTGGCATTGGACTGCTCAGGCCAGCAGACTGCTGTGGATTTATTTCTCTTAAGTTCACAATATTCTGATCTAGCTTCCCTTGGTAAGGAGTACCTAACACATGTATTTATTCCTTCCATAGTGTTTGTTTGTTTGTTTTATTCTTTAATTGTGTCACTCATTTGGCACTTCTGTAAATGCAGCTAATGCTGCTGAGGCGTTGACTTTGAAGTTGATATCAGTAAAGAACAGGAGTATTGGATTAGTGTCATCAAAGATAATTTATTCTGAGATCTCAGGTTTAAACCAGGAAGTACCTTTCTACTCAAAAACAGAAAGCAGTCTGACGGCAGGAAATGAATGAAGTTTAATCAGAGAGGAGAGCTGTGAGCTGTTCTCACCTTTCTGTACTAAGCCAAAATTTGTCTGTGCACAGCTTTGATAGTGCAGACAAACAGTATTTGGATGTGCACTCCTGTCTTAGTTGCTGAAGGTAGTTGGGGATGTTGAAGTAAATGGTCACTGCGTGTTGAAGTGACTTAATATTAATGTCTTCAGTGAACTGAGTCACAGACAGTTCTTGTCATACAGATGTAGTTCACATCGGGAAAAAGGTCAGTAGAGATGTGGCTTGCAGAACATTGTATGCAATTTTTACGTCTTGGTTTACTTCTTCACCGTATCTTTTTGTTCTTCACAGCTTGCATGTCCAAGTACTCTGCAGGATGCATCTATTATTACCCATCTTTCCACCATAGCCATAATCCTGCTCAGGCTGAAAAACTGCAGAAAGACCTTAAAAGATACCTTACCAGGAAGATAGGATTTGAGGCGGTTATGCGCATAAGATGTACAAAAGGTATATTAAGATACTGTTACATATGAGAAAGTTGATGTAAACATTTGAACTGTTATTTTGAATGTGCTTATCTTTCACGGAAGAGTAAGATACTGGCAACCTCCACAGCAGCTGTTGCATTAGCTTTTTCCATTTGGGTAATGGGGTCTTTTTTTTTTTTTTTTTTTTTTTTTTCTTTGTTTAGTTAAGATTGTGCCATTTCAGTTTCAATTTAGTTGAAATGTATAGTGTAAGAGCAGTAGTCAGTTTGGAGTGTCAGAATTGAACACGAAATCTACAGGACCACTCTGAAATGTCTGATGAGTGTAATAATTGATTCTGCTTAATATTTGGTGTAAATATTTTCAGTATATATTTCCCTGTTTTTAAACATAGAGTGCCTGTGGGTTTTAAATATTTACCAGAATTTTTCACACTGTTAACTGTACTGTCTGAATTATTTGATCTACTTGTAGGTCTCTCAATACACACTTTTCATGGGAACTTTTTTGTCCGATCTACTGACTTACTGTCTCTCGCCAACGTCAATCCTGATGCTGGGTTTGCAGTACAAATGTCCATTGAGGAGAGTCTGACTGACACATCTTTAGCTTGTTTTCAAACTGCTCTTTTGTACACTTCCAGCAAAGGTAATGAGATTCAAATGAATTTGCCACTGTTTGCGCTTGTTTTGTTTTCACTATGATGTTTGTATAGCTAGTTGCACAGGTCTTTGTTTGTCTTCGTAGCCTAGGGGAATCTTGTCAAAATTAAGGAGCCTGCTTGGCAGTTAGTCACATTCAGTAAGTCTTCACAAACACTATTTTGCTGGAGGTTGGTAGTTTATCTCCATTTTAAGTAAAGTGATCTTGCTGAAGAATTTTATTTAAAAGTCATACTACTGTTTTAAGCAGTAACGTGTTTGACATTTCATGCGGAATCAGAGCTAGGAGAGTGATGGACCTGAGCCAGTTTCTAGTATTTTGAGTGGGCATAAAGAATAGCAGCCACTTTCTGTTGTGGAAGATGTCTTCCCAAAATTTTGGAATGGAAAGCTACGTACTTCGTCTGTAGGATCAAAACACAGTTTACTGCTTTGTTATGAACCTGTTCTGACTCATAAGTTAAATACTTCAGAGCATTTCTGAATTAAAGACAAGGGTAGGAGATGATGATACAGCAAATTCCCTGACTAGTGTTCTTTTTACGAAGAGCTTGTATCTCAGATGAGAGGAAATACGATCTCCTGTTGTATATCGTCTGCTGCCAATGAATACTGTGTGATGATTCCTACTTTTTTTTTTGTAGGTGAACGTCGAATTCGAGTGCACACACTTTGCTTGCCTGTAGTAAATTCACTGACTGATGTGTATGCAGGAGCTGATGTACAAGCAGTTGTATGCCTCTTAGCAAACATGGGTGAGTACAGGTCAGAAAGATTAAAATATCTTTTCTCCTGTTCTCTTTAAACAAATTCGTGAATGAAGCCTGGCTATTCCTTTTCCTGTTGGTTTTCCTGTGCTTGAAAAAGAAAGGAACAAGATGAGAGTACTTCTGATGTTCTCTTCTATGCGTTAGTTTCCTGTCATTGCTGGGTTGAGGAGCCTTGCTGATCTCCTACTTGCTGGTCACCAGTTGCTACTTCAGTGGCAGAATGATCTCTGCCATGGAATGTGTATGGCTCTGTAGGATTCTAGTGTATGGCAAATAAATCAGAAAAAAATAAACAGTACTTCTGTATGTTCTTGTAAATGTGCATTCAGTCCAGCAGGTGGCTTCCTCCAACCAAAAGATTTGTAGCCCTTTCTTAGCAGAGAAAAGTGAAGTTCAAGTTGCCCTATCCATTGTGCCATTGAAGTGATGGGAGAACATGCATCTGTATACCACAGATTAAACATATTATTAGATCTCCTCAAGAACTGAAATGAGAAAGTACAGATCAGCGTGGTGCTTTTTTTTTTTTTTTTTTTTTTTTTTTTTTTCTCTCCTTAGAGCATCATGAAAGGGATCTTTTCTCTATGGAAAATGGAGCAAATGAATTAAACTCTACTAACTTCTTTTATCCTTCTATCCAACAGCTGTGGATCGCTCAGTTTCATCTAGTCTTCCAGACGCAAGAGATGCCTTAGTTAATGCTGTGGTAGACTCTTTGTCAGCATATATGTCAACTGCCTCAAACCTGCAGCAGTCTATGCTGATAGCACCAAATTCCCTCAAGTTGTTTCCACTCTATGTTTTAGCTCTTCTCAAACAGGTGTGTGTAAGTTAGAGCTATTGATGTTTGATTCATGGTTCAGTTTGAGTAATTTTTCACCTAGATCAAGCAGTGTCTGTCTTATGCTATAATTATCCAAAACTGTATATATAGTTTAATTATATATGTATATGTTTAATTAAACATGAAGGATCAAAACAAAAATTAGCTTATTTAAATTATTAGTGCTGGAACAGTTTTTTTTTTACTTGAATTTGTAGTTTTTAATCGATTTTTTTTTTTTTTTTTTTTTACTATGTGTGTATATATAGTATATAAAAAATACATAGTAACAGTAATTCTTAGGTTCTTGGCAACTAATTAATGGTACCTAAAGGGATTCTCGTAAGCCATTTACTAGTAATTCATTTTATTTTATGAAGAAGAAAACCAATAGTTTTCAGTACATATTCTTTGTACTTTCACGTACTAAGAAGGAAAATTAGTTACTGAGGAAAAAGGGAATATTTTAAAGTTATTGTAAAATTAGTTACTGGTTTTTTGGTTTTTTTTAAGAAATGTCTTCATTCTTTCTTAAAGAACTCATTACTTGCATATAATGAGAGCTTACCATACACAGGCTTTTATGTTTGATAAAAGTCTTAGCTTTAAGAGTGTTGTTTGATAGTTGAATGTTCTTTCTTATTACAAACAAAGCTTTCTGTAAGTTCAGTTGTAAATCGTACTGAAATCATTTTTTCTTTGATGTAGCGGTGACTTTAGTGACTAATGTACTGATTAGGTCTTTTTAACCATTACGTCAGTTAGAATGAGGAAAAAATGACCATTTGATATCAGAAGAATCCGTGTAAAAGACAGATTAGAAGTAATAGGGGCTGTGGAAATAGTTCAGTGCAGTTATAGAGTTATCTCCATTAACAATAATAAAAAAGCCTGAAATAAAGGAAAACTGAAACTGAAAGAAAAAAAATGACTGGCATGCATAGCTTTGGTAGAGAAGTGAATTTGCATTTTGATTATAGGAATATTGTTCTCCTTTCAGTCAGGCGCTTTCTCCGTCGTGTTGTTTCTCACAGCAGTAGTTTACCAGTTGTTCCTAAAAAGAGCTGAAATGTTAGTAGTAAGGAGAGTTATAAAATGAAAGTTATCCTATGATTACCTACTTTCTGCTACAAAATGTGGAAGTGTATTTCCATCCTGGAGCTTTTCCTTAACATTTTATTTTTAGTAATATAAAATCAGATTTAATCTTATCCTTGCAAGTATCATTTTCGAACCCTACTGGGTTCTTACCTTCCTGTGGTCATTGTGTCAGTGAGTAAGTCAGTAAGGCTTGTCAGGAATGAAAATGAGAAATGCCAACTGTGTACAAATGTTACATGAAATAGAGGCATTTTTAAAAATCCTTCTTTTTCATCTATAAGAAGGGATAAGTGACTAATTTTGTAATTATATTCTATTCGAGTTGCATTTGAAGGAATTTTCCAGCATAGTACTAGTATTTCATTTTAAAAATAGGTTTTTAAAATGATTTATTTTGTTAAAAAAGGTTTTTAACGTCTGAGACAGGTATGCTTGACTCTACCGGAATTTGGGAAATAGGCTGTTTAGGTGTGACATAAAACACGGGAATTATTTGAGTAACAATGTTTTTTTGCTTTTTTTTTTTTTTCCACAGAAAGCTTTTAGAACAGGCACTAGTACGCGCTTAGATGATCGTGTTTATGCAATGTGCCAGATAAAGAGTCAGCCTCTTGTCCACATGATGAAAATGATACATCCCAACCTGTACAGAATAGACAAGTTGATTGAAGAGGTAACGTATGAAGCCTAACGTGTAACATTTTCAAGCTGTAATGGAGCGTCTTTTAAGCTTTAATGTGTTACAGTAATTCATCTGAGAGTCTTAACAGTTAACAGGATTGTAAACCAGGCGTTTTTCACATGCGTGCTAAGGAAAACTTTTGTTTTTCTTCATCTTGTTTCAGTGACTACAATAATTCCACGGTTTTCAATCATATAAAGGAAGCAGAGATTCTATGCTTTAGATGCATATTCAGTGTGTTTTAGTTTTAGAGTTGTCTGAGGAGAAATGGATGAAATATAATGAGTACATAATATTTTTCTTGTGTGCTGAAACCAGATCAAGATGGCTGGTTTAACCAGCTTTCAGACGTTTCTGTGCTGTGGATGAAGTCTAGACTATCAAGATCAGTCCGATTAAATATTTTAAGAAGAAAACTAGTTTTTAATTATGTGCCCTTTACAGAGGTGGTTTAGGAAATGAATTCAGTGGTAAGAAGTAAGATGAGATTTCACTTATAAGCAAAGGCAGCTGTAACTGAAAGTAAGTTAGTTTTGTTTTTAATTGTTTTCTTGAGGTGATCAGTCATGCTTAGTTACAGCCCTTACACTAGCTTTGCAAAAAAAAGAACGTGACATGTAAGTGTTCATTTTTAAGTATCATACAAACCTGTATAGGCAATTGAGTACTTGCTCTGGCAATTAATATTGTTCAGCACAACGTGTAAGCTATTTACCTTGTCAAACTGTCTTTTAAATTATTCCATAAATTCACAGTATTCTTCAGCAGTATTGACTTGTCAGGCTTTTCAGATTTTTATTTTTTGTTCCCCCTATTTAAGAAGTGAACTTCAAGTAGCCCTATCGAGATCGTTTCCGCACAAGTGCCATTAACAACACTGCATTTCAGAGTCTGAGTGCTGTAAAAAAGCAAAACAAAGACAACCAACAGCAGCAATCTTTTTTGGGAGATTCAATTTTATTTGCAAAGGATTTCAGATTAGTCGCTTCCAGTGGAACAGTAAAGCATAGGGTCTGTTTAACCTACTGATGTTAGTTAAGCCTCATGTTAAATTACGTAAAGGAGTGTTAATCTGCTGTTTAATATTGGCTCACTTTGAAATATTTATGTGAATTGCTGCTCTTAAATCTCTTTCTGTAGAAAATTGTAAGCTTTAAAAAAAATTGCAAATTTTTCTGTTAATACTCAATTCTTGGACTATTAAGCATAGTATGGAACTTCTACAAGTGAACTGCAGTAGCTTAATTTTCATGTTTGCATATAAATCCTGATTTCTTTTGTATTATAATATGGAATTTTTATTTATTTATTTGTTTGTTTGTTTGTAGTCTTGTTCTGTGTGGGGATGTGTTTATCCTCCAGAATGTGTTGCTCCTTATTCACTAAATGTTTCACAGGTTTCTTCATAGCTATTTAGCTTTATCCCATTTTAATCTGAAATATGGCTGGATGTTGTTTTGGCTCGTTGGTTTAAGTTTTTTTCAGCATTGCTCTGGCTTAATGAACTTATCATCTAAAAAAAAAAGAATAATATAAAGCAAGCTTTGGTTAAATGACAAGTTAGAATTTGTTGATACAAGTGCGATCATATAGATTTAATGTAGCATTTTTTACATGAGAATGCTCAAAATGTTGCTGGAGATTACCTGTGCTTTTTCCTCTTTTGGCACATCTGGTTAAGACAAAATAATGATGTACGATTTTTTTTTTATATTACTGTGTTACTGCCTGTTGTTTTCTTTACAGAGTACAATACATGTGAATGACAGAGTTGTTCCTCAGCCTCCTCTTCAGAAGTTATCTGCAGAGAAGTTGACAAGAGAAGGAGCTTTCCTTATGGATTGTGGTTCAGTAAGTTACTAGTTTTATATATTCAAGGTGCACTCCGAATTGTTAAAAGCAGTCAGTTTTCAACAATAGTTCCAGTGTAAAGCTTTCATATTTTGCCCTCTGGAACATCTATAATACAGATTGTATATTAAGTTGCAAAATGTTCCTTTTTTCACACTAAATAAATTGGCCAAGAGTTTGTATCGACTCTTTTTTCTGACAATAATGTATTTCCATTTTCAAAAGTTTATTTTAATGGATATTAAACTGCAGGGGCTAAAGTCTGTCTAACAAAGCACTTAGCCATCGAGGGGGGCGCTTTCTCAGTTATGCACAACTCTCAGTGGTTTTATGGTATGTGGCTCACATGAGGTAAGAGTTGCAAGAACAGGGGAGTTGTAGGACTTGATTAAAACCTGTAAATACAGTTGAAGTTAATCTTAGGAATTACCCAAAAAACGCTTACTGGTACCAAATGGAGTGCTACTCCTGTAATGCGATAAAATATTGCACTGCTCTAATGGCACTGTAGAAGGAAAGCACTTGAGGGTTTGGGAGCTAAGTGTGAATGTCAAACTAGTTGCTCTCTCCTTACGTCAGCAATAATTGCTTCAGTGTGTTTTGATACATGCTGCTTTGTGTAACTTGTTGAGAGTGGAAGTTCGTGTGCAGAATTGGATCCGGTGTGCGACTTTAGTAAGATCTAGGTTTTCTATTTTATGAGGTAAAATGCATTAACTGTACCAACATAGACACATCCTGCATCCTTGCTCTTTCCTTATTTGCATTTTAACTTTTTTTTTTTTTTTTTTTTTTTTTACTTTTAATGATCTTACTCCAAATGGTACCAATTATTCCTAAGGTAGGGTTGAATTAATGAATATAGAAGTGGAGTGCAGCTGGTGACACAAGCTCTCAGGTGATAAATTTGCATGAATAGTGTTTCCTGGTAATATTGTAATTACGTTTCTACCTGTCTCCTTTTCTAAAATGTAGGTACTAACCTTTATTTAAACTGATTCTGATATCTTACAGAATTTTTATATTTGGATTGGAAAGAACTGTGATAACAACTTCATAAAAGATGTCCTCGGATATCCAAACTATGCGTCAATACCCCAGAGAATGGTAAGCATTTACTGATCTGTCCTGCTTAGTGCTTACATTTGGAATCTGTATTTAATCTAGTTTTTGTGCACTGTCAGTTTTTAATCATGCAATTGAGAATAAGATGTTTTTTTTTTTTTTTAATAACTCGTGTCTCACTTCTTGACAACTCGCTAGGATGCAGAAGTTGTCAAAAGCTTTTAAGGAAAGAATGTACATGTGTTCACTGAATGACAAAAATTATTCATTAACATTACTGCTTTTGGGACTTCTGTGGGATTATTTGTTTTTTTTTAATGCACGTGGGCTTACAAATACAGTGTGGAATTTTGCAGATAACTTTTCTTGGACCTTTTTTTAAGGTATTCGAGTAAAGTTCTGAATGGAATTGTTGCATTTGTGATTTCTAAAAGCTAAATCTAAATGTGTTTTTGTGGAAGCGCATAGGAAGAAATTTGCTGCTCATAGAGCTTGAATAGCATGAAGGGAAAGAACAAATGAAATTGGAAGTTATGAGAACAGGTCAGAAAGATCGGTGAGCTTTAAGACTGCTATAAAATTGAATGCTTGTTAAGGGTTTTCTATTTTGTTCATATTAGCAACTTAAAATTGTTTCCTTGTATTATAACTGGTGGTAGAATTAGTTGACGTTGTTTTCAGGAAACAAAATGAGAGGATGGTTAAGAAAGTATCAGGTGGTTAGATAGCATTTATTTTAATGAAAAACGAGAGAAAAAAACTAACACGCGAGTGTTCATCTTTGCTTTTAAACTATATCCTTTACTCATTTACTACAAAGGCAGCAGCAGAACTGTTTTTAAATGTGTGGAGTTTTTTCACCGTATTAGTCATCTTACGTTGTATCAGAGCAGGAGGCAGTGTATTTATCTCAGTGAATGACTCAAGCAAGCTGACGTTTTGTTTGGTTTTAGCTCATTCCCCATCCAATAGTCAGCTGTCATCTTTGCTTACGATTCAGATTTTGTTTCTCTGTGTTTTATTTCACCTCTTAGTAGTGCGAAAGGCAATTCAGAGGAACTTGGTCGACAGGGGAAGAAAGCAGGGAAAATGTGCAAGCAGCATTTTAAAAGGATTATTTCCTCAATGAGCTCGCTTTCTAAAATCTTTGGCACTTCAAAGGCAACTTAGGTTAAAGGTGTGTTACGTCCTGTATAACAGATAAATGCCAAAATTCTGTACTTAAGCTGAAGAGAAAATACGGCTACGTAGTACGCAGTAATTTTGTAATAGAAATGGTGGCTATTTTGTCGTTGGGTCACGTTGTGAATTTCAGGATCTGTTTATTAAGATAATTTTGATAATAAATGATAACTTCTTTCCATTTCTTTCAACCAGACGCAGCTTCCCGAGATAGATGCACTTTCTTCAGAAAGGACACGATCTTTCATATCCTGGCTTAGAGACAACAGACCTTTAAGTCCAGTTCTTCAAGTAATAAAGTAAGTATCTCATTTAGATATTGAGTAATTATTGGCGGGTTGCGTTTACAACTTGTTGTTGACAGTGATAAAAAGTTGGAGTATCTAGGTCAGAAGAAATTAAATACTGTCCCCTCTCCAGAGGATATGATGTTGTTGTCTAAAACCCCTTCACAATGGAAATCTGTAAGTTCTGGTTTTAATCTGTATCGAGTTTTAGTGTAATGTTTTCAGAGCTCATTGCCATCAACATAACTTGCAACTTGGAAAAACTAATTCATTTTTACGCTTCCATTCTGATATTGCTATGAGACACTTGAAATATCGCCTGCTTTTCTCTCACGTTATCTGTTAAAAAGATCACAGAATTATAGGGGTTAAGGGGCCTCTAGAGATCGAGCCCAACCCCCTAAGACACTCCTGCTTGACTGTATATTGCAGAATTGAGATCACTTCCCTAAGAGTTGTTTTTTAACTTTGGGTTATTTCTTCTGTAGTGCATTTAAGCTGAGTTTGAAATTCAAAAGAAGAGTTAGAAATGCAGTAGAACTTACGTCCCTATGTAAATTTACAGTAGATTTTAGTTTGCTCAATGTTAGGATTAAAAGACCTCCTTCTGTTCTTTCAGGGATGAAAGTCCTGCCAAAACAGATTTTTTTCAGCACTTAATTGAAGATCGGACAGAAGCAGCTTTCTCTTATTACGAATTCTTACTGCATATTCAACAGCAGATTTGTAAGTGAACAAAAAATAGACCAGAAAAAAAGAACCCGGCTCCAGGTAGCATTGGCCGAGAGAAGCGTACGGGACGCGGCAGAAGTGGGTGTTTGTTCTTCACGATATGTAGTAACCAGGACTGTTCTGGAAACTTTACAGCTGAAGTAGAAGTGTACGTTTCCAGAGGAATTTTCCAGATATACTTCAGTGTAAAAGTGCTAGGAGCAATGGAGCTGTTTCACTAGTAATCTTTGAATTGGTTTATACACGTTTCCAGTAGTGCAGCGGTATGGTGCTCTGTTTATTGCAAGCTGGTGAATTTATGTAGCTATGTGGGATATTTCCTAACGAAATGTACAATTAAGTAAAGCCTTTTTTCTTACGTTTGTTATGGTAGCCCTTCAAAATTCGAATTCTTAACCAAGATGTCAAAGGGCAGTGCTGTATGTTGGTTGTTTATATGAATTTCTTTTTAAAAGGAATGATTCGTATTTACTAGAGACTTCAGCAAATTCCCTGCGAAAGTTGTAGAATTTCACTAAAGTAAAATAATTGTAGAAATGAAATATATAATGTACATAAGTGTTACATTTGTAAAGAAAATGTAAAAATGTAACTAAAAAAAGACTTAGTTTAGTGTATGGAATTGTTGAGTGTTCAATGATGAATTGTTTCGGTCTCAAGTTGACTATTAAAACATGCTTAAAAAAAATCCGTGTAGAAAGAACACAACTTCTTGTTCCGTTTAATTTTTAGGCGAATTTATTTCAGATCGGCTTACTAATTAAAAATATTTTGCTTTATCGTGTCTTTTTTATATCTCTGCAAGTATCACGTTTTTGCAACTGAACTCCGACTGAACGACATGCCGTGGAGAACATGCTTACCACTTTTTCTTCACAGACATCCAAAACCGTGGAATGGTTTTAAACTGAGACAGGGGTGGTTTGGGTTAGATATGAGGAGGAAGTTTTTCACACGGGAGTGGTGACACACTGGAACAAGTCACCCAAGGAGGTTGTGGATGCCCCACCCCTGGAGGCATTCAAGGCCAGGCTGGATGTGGCTCTGGGCACCCTGGTCTGGTGGCTGGCGACCCTGCACACAGCAGAGGGTTGAAACTTGATGATCTTTGAGGTCCTTCTCAACCCAGGCCATTCTATGGTTTTCTAACCTGGAAGGGAGGAACAAACGTTGCGTAATCTGAAATGAGCTATCAATACAATGGCTAAAGTTGCTGAAACTCTCCCTGTGTGTTAACCTAAAGACATATCTGTTAACCTTATTTATTTTTTGTAAACTGCTATAGTCTCGGTTCAGGCTTCTGTACTTTATTTTGTCTGCAATTAGAGTAAACATAGGTAGTCACCCAGTCTGACCTGATGCAATTATTTCTGCTGTGATATAGAGAGGAAAAAACAAGGGAGGGGGAGAATAAATGAACTTGCAACAATGAAAGTGAAGGTATTAAAATGACTTTAAATTGCCAAATGACGTAACTGTTTCATCTTTCTGAAGCTGTCTTCTTGTTAATGTTTTATCATAACTTAATGGTGGAGTTTCAGATAGATTTAGCCGAGATTTTTAAGTTTTGATTCAAAGTTAGGATGGTGTGGTTTTCTTTTGGGTTGGTTTTGTTTGTTTTTTTTCTTTTGAGGTATAATAGAAATAATTCACAAAGCATAGTCAATCATGCGTAGTAGTTGAAACTTATTTGTTTGCTTAAGGAAATGTGACTAAAATGAAATAAGTATCCCAAGGTAATTGGTATGATTGCATTTTATTTTAAAGTGGTCTTTTGAACTATTAACATGTTGCGTAACTACCGTATCCCCTGGAAACAGACCTTGAGTAGTCAAGAGAAAAAATGTACTAGCTATGGTTTGCAAATGCTTTAAAAGCTACACTACTTAAGCTGTTCAAGTGTTATTCTGCATGTTAGCACCAACTCACTGTTTGGAGGAAATATAATGTGTGTTGTCTTTAAATGTGTTTTAAGTTGCCCAAAGATTACTTGACAAAAAAATTCTGTTTAGTAAATGATCACGTAATAAATGTCTGTGGCAATGCTGAATGTTGTTTCTAAGTCAGACCACAAGGATTTCAGTACCAACATGCTTCTTCGTAGACGACTTTGCAGTAATGAAGGCTATTTGCTGAAGAGTGGAGCATTTCAAATATCACTTGTAATTGCAAAGAGGATAAGAACATCTTTAGGTTGAAATGCCTCATGATATCTGCTTTTCATTTGTATATGTAATCACTTCTGTGGAATCACAAGGTAAAGTTCCAGCCGGAAGAGAGTAATGTAAAGGCAGGCTATTGGACCCATGTCATTCTGAGGCAATTAACATGCTTGTTACATGAAAGTTGATGGCCTGTAGATATAATTTCAAGTAGTGAAACGCATTACTGCAGCTGTTCAGCTCTTAGATGCCGAGGTCAAGCAAAGCATCAGATCATGTTCACCTCACTTGTTCAAACACTGACTATTCTATGTTTTTTTCCCCTTTATTTTAAATTTTTGGGTGGTTCTATGTGCTCGCGTGTCGCTGGCTCCTCTGTCACCGTCATGGGGATGGGAAGAGTTTTGCTGCAGTTCTGGAAGGAGAGGTCGGAGCACTCATGGACGGCTCGGGAGGGCAGAGCTTGGCACCAGTCACACTCACTCTTGGTGTGCTCTGGTGCCACATTCTCCAGCTCACTTTCATGCCGTGAGGTGCGATGGAGATCGCGTACTACGGAGATGCTCAGGTGTTACTGTGATGGTGAGCAGGTGTATAAGCGCATGTGTAGGTGTATTTGTATGCTGTGCTTTTGAGCAATAAAGAAGCTACCTCGGGGGTAAATCAGCCACTCTGAAATGTGTCGTTTTTGCTGTAATTTTTCTGTGAGGGAGCAAATTGCTATCATCAAGAGCAAGGATCCTCACCCGCCCCTTTTCCAGCTCAGCAGCCGGACAAAATCCTCAACTTCTTTGATGGCTCTGATTAGCCGTTATGCTTTCTGTATAATATTTATAGAAATCATTCGTAATTTTATCGAGTTCCCTTTTTAGGTACATGAGTTGATTTTTATAGCATAACTTTTTCTTTCTGAGAAGCACGGACACAGTTCTTCAGGCTGAGCGAAGCGCATTTTGTTTTTTTGGGCAGGCCTTATTACTGCTGCACAGAATTTTGTTCCCAGAAGGATGTGATTTGCTTTGGTAGAGTCACAGATTTGTAATGCCACAGTTATTTGGTGCGTGCTGAAACTTTGCGGCTGCCAGCTATTTTGCTTCCTCCTGGCTTGCGTGTGTTAACTCCGTGCTCAGAGAAATGCTCTGCTTGCACTGCTCTTGGAGTGTTCCTGTTACTGAGGAGTTCCTGTTACTGTATCGTTACGGAGAACAGATGTGTTAGCACAATCAAGCGGACAATTGCCATTTTTTATTGGCTGTTGACAAACAGTCTGAGTCATAAAACACTACAAGGAATGACTTTTTAATTATTTTTTAAACACAGTCAAGTTCGATACCAGTTTGACACTGCAGAGAAACTCGGATGGATTTGCATTGTGCAGCCATTCACCTACATGAGATTTCCAATTTAGTTCATGCTGTGGATATCTGTACCAGGCTGCTCGCAGGCCCCAGGGTTTTCAGCTGCTGTGGAAAACAAAGCCTGAGTTATGAGTTGCTTGTAGCTTTGTAAAACCAGGTTCCCTTGCAGTTGCACAGTCCCCTTTACCAAAATTGTTTTTGTGCTGCGTGGAGTTGCTGGTATGGCGACAGCGTCTCCTGCGAGGGGCAGGCAGGAGACTCCGTCACGAGAGAGTAAGGAGAGAACTGCAATGGGAAGACTGTTTTTTACAAAGCAGGAGTTCTGTTCAACGTCATTAATTCAGCATGTGTCATGCTTTTACGTGTGGGATTCTCTTAATTGTACATCCACGCCATAACAGTCGCATGTAAGCTACAAGATGGGTTTGCGAGCGTGCCCGTGAGAAGTGCTACAGATTTGTTTTCCTTCCATGTTAGGAAATGGTGTATGCGTGTTGCTGAGGAAAGGATTCTTCCTACTTGCAAACTGCAGCCAGTTGGGGAGCCACTGGCTTTGGTTACCTGCAGAAAGCAAGGCAGTGAGTAGTTTTGGTTTTGTTGTTCCCAGTGTCACCTCTGTCAGAAATGCTTCTTTTAGTGTTCTCAGCTGACAAACTGTTGGCTATCCCACTCTTCAATCTGTCCCTAACTTTGTCTCGCCCTTCCTGTGAATGACTTCTAGATACTCGTGTTTTCTCCTACATTGTCATAACCCTTTTAGTGTTACTCATTTCCAGTCTGTCCTTTGTTTTTAAGCAGTGTGGGAATCATCAATCTAGATGCATTGAATAGCCACAGGAGAACTTAAAATAGTTTTTTTCTTTTTTTCCTTGCTCTGTTGTTTCCTTTTGTCCCCTCCCAAGATAGTCCAGCAAGCTAGCAACTCTAGGACATCACAGGCAGCTACGTAAGAAGCGGGTTATCGTTGACTGTCTTGTGCGGTTGAGTATTCCGCTTAAACGCGCTTTGTCCCTGCTGTGTATTTGCAGCCTAAATGGATCCCGTGGAAACGGAGATATAATAGAAGCTGAAAGCTTTCCACTTCTTTTCCTTTTCTTTCTATGACATAAGTTTGCTTGATGATCCAAACCTTGTTTTCCAATTCAGAAACCTTGTGCTATAACTGGAGCATCTCACCAACATCACACGCTGTTCCTTCCAGCACTTTGGGCAAGGCTTTTTTCTGTACCTGTGAAAAGACTGATTAACTCAAAACCTTACAGAATATCTGCGAAATTGCTCTGCAAATGCCTCAGGAGCGCTGAAGATTTACTACAAATCATTGCCAGAGTGCTAATACTTAGGGCTGTTTACAAATGTAGCGCGTGTGTTAGCATTAGTCTCTTCTCATTATGCTTTTTTTTTTTTTTTTTTTTTTTTTTTTTTTTTTTTTTT